ATGTGGAACATGGGCCGTCTTTACTAGTAGGCTAAACACCTGCTCCTCACACTGTTCATTGAATATAGCACAGTTATCCTTAAGAATGCCAGTGCTGTGGCATAGTGGCTGCTGACTGAGACACTGGCATCTCATACGGGTGCCAGTTTGAGTCCCAGCTACTCCACTTCTGATCCAGCAGGGGCTGGATCACCTGAGAAAGAAGCAGAAGATGGTCCAAGTACTTGAGCCCCTGAACCCACTTGGAATATCTTTATGAAGTTCCTGGCTCCTAGCTTCAGCCTGGCCCAGCCCTCCTCATTGCAGCCATTTGGGAAGTGAATCAGCAAATGGAAGATTCCCTTTCTCTCTCTCTCTCTCTCTCTCTCTCTCAATCTCTGACTTTCAAATAAATCTTTATTAAAAAGAAAGAAAAAATAAGGAGAATCATTGAAATGTATATGTAAATTCCATTTAAAATCAGATTACTCTGTTCTTGCTAAGTATTTTTAAGATTTAGCTAAAGTTACATAACGAATGAATACATTGTATGTCAATGACTTCATGAGAATGGAAAATCTTCTCGAAGGAACATTCCTATAAAAGTACAGATTTCTCCTGAGAGAAGCCATTCTATTGAATGCATCCACGTTGTCACACCTCTGTCTTTGCTCACACTTTTCTCTTGTCTGATAAGTCTTTCACTGTTTTTATCATGACAGGATTCATTCTCCCTCACTGATAATTCCAGGATATTTTATGCATATCTTCATAGTTCCTTTATTGCATTGTATAATGAGATTATACTTATGTGGTTAGCTGTTTCATTACTGTGGCTAGCTTCTTAAAGACAAGAGCAATGTGTTGTTTTTGCTGTTTTGTTTTGTGTTAGGTGTTTGTATTTTTTGTTGGGGAGGGTGTATATCTTTTACAACCATCAGTTAATCAACACATAAATAGCACTCAATAAATAGCCCTTCAAGGAATAAATAGGTGCAAAGAAGTATAATAAGCAGAAGTGGAGTCTTAGAGTTGGAGAAAAAGTAGAAAAAAAAAACTTTGTAAAACACTATTACCCTAATCCTAAAATTACAATCAAAACATGTAGAGCTGATCCTTATAGTAAACATTTGTTCTATTTGACATTTGCCTCTGTTTGAGCATACTTTGCACTGTAGCAGGAAATTTACCTGAGAAAAAGCATTTACTTTATATACTTCATGACTATAATGGAGCTATAAAATAATAAATCTTGTTTAGATAATAAAATAGTGATGAAGAAGACGAATTTGTTACACCACTTCTCTGTTGTGGTGTTATTATACAGAAGTTCATTAAACTGCTGTGCCTCGGTTTTGTGATCTGTGACAAACTGATAACTGTACTTGCCTCATAGGTTAGCTGTGAGGACTGAATGGGTTAATAACATGTAAACCATTAATACGATGCCTGCAGAAGTAAACACTCAGAAAAGATGAATATTACCATTATTATAATTGAAACAGGTAATTTCTATGTTCTCATGAGGTCTTGGTGGAATTGAATTTTACTGTCTTGCTCTGTTACAATGTTATTATAAAGACTGTATGACTCCCCACAAGTTACTTAAAATAATAACTAAATTAAGCTATGCCCCTAAGAACTAATAGCATAACCTAAGGACAAAACAATTGGGCATTACAGTCAGACAGACACATGACTATGCAAGAGTACTTCAACAAGTTCATGGAAAATCTAGTTGAAACCTAAGTTTGTTTTGGTGAAAAAAAAATTCTTGAAATCCATGCAGATCTTCTCCATTACACAAATTTTCTGTGAACTTTTTGAAGGCCCCTTGTGTGTATGGATTTCAAAATTTTCTACACCAAATGAGCTTATCTTTTAATTCCATTTTCCATGAACATTTCAAAGTATCCTCATAAATAAACATTATGTTACATCATGTGTAAGAGCTTCCATTCAGCATAGTAATTTAGATGTCAGTTAGGATCTCTTTGTCCCATACGAGAATGCCTGGCTTGAATACCTGGCTCCTCCAGTGCACACCCTGGGAGGCAGCAAGTGATGGCTGAAGTAGTTGGGTCTTCGCTACCCACATGAGACCTGGATTGAGTTTCCTGCTTCTGGCTTCAGTCTCACCCAACCCTGGCTATTGTTGGCATTGAAGGACTAAACCAGTAGATAAGAATTCTGATTTTCTCTCCTTCTCTCTCCTCTCTCTTTCTTCCTCTCTCTCTCTCTCTCCTCTCTCTTTCTACCTCTCTCTCTCCTCTCTTTCTTTCTCTCTCCCTCTCTCCCTTTCCTCTCTTTGCCTCTCTCTCTTTCTCTCTCCTTTCCCTCTCCCCTTCCAATCTCTCCCTCTGTTTCTGCCTTATAAATAAATTAGGAAAGAATAATATACTATGTATAAGCCAAAGAGTAAATACATCTTGGGGCTAAATCAACAAACTGACAAATATTCATGGTGCGTAAAACCTAGGTTAGTGTGCTTTCTCCACTATTATCAACAAGTCTACATATTAGTGATGAGACCACAGGCCCTACTTAAAAGAGTAACCTTGGTTATTTCCCAGTGAATACATTCAATATACTGTTATAGAGACATAAATAACATAATCTATGTCCGGTAACCCAGATGTTGACGCTAACACTATGAGGACCAAGTGGGATCCTAAAAATATAAAGGAACATAAAGGAATCTGGCTAGAAACCATGTCTGAATTAGTAATGGTTTATTAAATTTGTAATTGTAAATAGCAAGAAAATAAGAGAAAAAGAAAACAAGACCCAGTTGTGATTAGCTGCATTTGTTTTCCTATTTTCTTTGTTATCTATGAATACAGTATCAAGATTAATTAGATTTCTAAATTTAATATTGAAAAAATTTCTGGTAAACTGCAATATAATTTTATGATGTGAATTTTTACATACACTTTGAAAATATGACAAAAATTTGATGTTTTTCTCAGCATTAAATACCATTTTATTGAGCCTAATTTAAATGCTACAATATGATACTTAGAGAAACCAGTTGATTAGCAAATAAATCTTCTTATAGTTTTAAGCTGGTCTTTTATCCCACAGAATTTATAAAGATTATGGAAATCCACATAATGTTTTCTTCTTTAATATTCTACTCTAAATGTAATTTCAGGATTAGCTCTTGAAGAGCTCTTATGTCAGACTGTTTATTAAATAAATTAAAGCAGAAAGTTTTTGTTTATATTAAAGTCAGTATTGTAAGTTAAATTGCCAATAATGTAAATAAATACCATTGCAAAGGAATTAACCAACCAGGGCAGACATTTGACACAGCAGTTGATGCTGCTTGGATGCTCACATCCATATCTGAGTGAATGAGTTCAAGTCCTGGCTCCGCTCCTGATTCCAGCTTCCTGCTAATGCACAGCCTGATAGGCAGTAGGTAATGGCTGAAATGGCTGGATCCCTGCCACCATGAGGGAGATGCCAATGAGTTGTGGTTTCTGGTTTCATTCTGGCTGAGCCCTGGCTGTCGCAAACATTTAGGGGGTAAACCATCAGATGGGAAAAAGCCTCTCTCTCTGTCTCTCTCTCTCTCTCCCTATCTCTCTCTCTCTCTCCTCCCTCCCCCACGTCCTCACATTCAAATCAATAAAAATAAATAAATTTAAAAATGTTGATACTCAGTTTTTACTGTGAGGTCAATAGATACAGTGTGAGGTTCACTGATACTGAAAATACTTACTGAAGGTTTTAATGACATCCCTGTTGATGACTATGAGCACTCATTTCATTTCAGGTTCTGTGATCCAATATTGGCTTAAGGAGATACGATCAAATGGCATCTGTCTCCCAACAGTTCAGAAAGAGCAGAAATTACGTGAGTGCAAGGGAATTAATAGAACAGGGCTATAAAAGTTGTATAGAGACAGCAATAAAAATTGAGCAATATATAAAGAAAGTTGGCATAAGATCACTTATTTGAAGGACTGGCATTGTGGGTTAAGCTGCTTCCTTCAGTGCCTGCACACGTTATAGGCATGGGTTCAAGTCCTGGATGCTCCACTACCAATCCAGCTCCCTAATGTGCCTGGGAAAGCAGAAGAAGATGGTTCAAGTCCTTGGGCCCCTGCACCCGTGTGGGAGACCCATAAGAAGTACCTGGCTTCTGACCTAGGTTTAGCCCAGCCTGGCTGTTGCAGCTATTTGGAAAGTAAACCAGAGAAAAAAAGATCTCTCTGTGTCTCTTTCTTTCACTCTCTATAACTCTGCCTTTCAAATATTTTTTTTAAAAAATCGCTTATTTGAGAAGCTCCAAGAAATAAGAATATGAGAAAGAAAGATGTTAAAAAAGAAAAGTTGTATAGTAGCAATGTCAGAGTACCTTTCAATGGCGGGCAAGTCATAGATGCTATAGCACTGAAAAATTAGACAGATAAGGAACTACCATGTTGACTACGCTGAGAAATCTGACTCCCTGATCCAACAGCATCAGCTTCACCTGGGAACTTGTTAAATATGTAGAATTTAGGGTCTGAAAGTCACCTAACTTACTGGATCACAAACTGTAGAGTGATACTCAATGATGTGTTTCTTGCAAGCCCTTTAAGTGGCTGTAAGGCACACAGGATTTGAGAACTGCTGGCTTTAGAATTTCTATGAGGACTTTAGCCTCCATTCTTTATCTGGAGTTGCCCTTAAAAATGAATGTGGATGGCTGGCGCCATGGCTCACTAGACTAATCCTCCGCCTGTGGCACCGGGACCCCAGGTTCTAGTCCCAGTTGTGGTGCCGGTCCTGTCCCGGTTGCTCCTCTTCCAGTCCAGCTCTCTGCTGTGGCCCAGGAAGGCAGTGGAGGATGGCACAAGTGCCTGGGCCCTGCACCAGCATGGGAAACCAGGAGGAAGCACCTGGCTCCTGGCTTCAGATCAGCTCAGCGCACCAGCCACAACGCACCAGCTATAGCAGCCACTTGGGGGGTGAACCAACGGAAAAAGGAAGACCTTTCTGTCTGTCTCTCTCACTAACTCTGCCTGTCAAAAAAAAAAAAAAGCATAAAAAAAATGAGTGTGGGTAACATACTTCTTAATTACACCACAAAAAGTTACTCATTTTCTAGGTAGCAGATATTCAAATTTTTTTCTATCATTCAATTTGCTCTGTAGCACTTGCATTCAATGAATATTAGAAAATAAAAATTAAATTTAGTAGTGGTATCCCAAAGCCAAATACAATAGTACATATACTACACTCCAAGGTGTTTTATATTTAACAACATATTATGTATGAGTATTTATATCCTTATGAAGTACTTGATAAAAAATATTAAATTTTTTTTTATTTGACAGGTAGAGTTATAGACAGTGAGAGAGACAATGAGAAAGGTCTTCCTTCCGTTGGTTCACCCCCCAAATGGCCGCCACAGCCGGAGCTGTTCCAATCCGAAGCCAGGAGCCAGGCGCCTCTTCCTGGTCTCCCAATTGGGTGCAGGGGCCCAAGCACTTGGGCCATCTTCCACTGCCCTCCCTGGCCACAGCAAAGTGCTAGACTGGAAGAGAAGCAACCAGGACTAGAATCTGGTACCTCTGCAGGCGGAGGATTAACCAAGTGAGCCATGGCACCAGCCAAAAAATATGAAATTCCTATCAGCTCCAACAAATGAAATATAATCACTTTTAAGTAAATACAATATTTAAAATATGAAAGGATGGAGGCCTGTGCTGTGGCATAATAGGCTAAACCTCCACCTACAGCTCCAGTATCCCATCCGGACGTAAGTTCGAGTCCCGGCTGCTCCACTTCCAATCCAGCTCCTTGCTAATGACCTGGGAAAGCAGTGGAAGATGGCCCATATGCTTAGGCCCCTGCACCCACACAAGAGACCCGGAAGAAACTCCTGGCTCCTGACTTAGAATCAGCCCAGCTCAGGCCTTTGCGGCAATTTGGAGAGTGAACCGGCAGATGGAAGACTTCTCTCTCTGTCCCTCTCTCTCTCTCTTTCTCTGTAACTCTGCCTCTTAAATAAGAAAATAAATCTTTAAAAAATATATGAAAGGATGGTAATAGTTAAAGAAAGAATAAGGTTTCAAGTTTCCACTTTCTCTGGATTTTTAAAATAAGGATAGCTACTAAGGAATTGTAAGAGACAAGGACTGATAAAAAAAGAGTTTTTTTTCAAAAAATTTATTTATTTATTTGAAAGGAAGAGTTACAGAGAGGCAGAGAGAGAGAGAGGTCTTCCATCCACTGGCTCACTCCCCCAATCGGCCTTAGCTGTGCCAATCCGAAGCCAGGAGCCAGGAGCCAGGAGCCAGGAGCTTCCTCCAGGTCTCCCACATGAGTGCAGCAGCCCAAGCACTTAGATCATCTTGTACTGCTTTCCCAGGCCACAGCAGAGAGCTGGATCAGAAGTGGAATAGCTGGGTCTTGAACCGGCGCCCATATGGAATGCAGGCACTGCAGGCCTCGGCGTTAACCATCTATACAACAGTGCCAGCCCTGAAACAAGAATTCCTTTTAAAAAGTATTAATCTTATACTCTAATTGCTTTGATTTCATTGGTAATTTATTAAGTTACAGCTTAGACTAAAGCCAAAATTCTGATATGTGTGGAGAATTCTGTTTCAGAAGAAAGGTAATATGGTCATTACAAGGGTTACCTATCACAAAGAATAATTTCATTTTCAGGTTGAGAGCCATTTTGAGCTCTCCTTACTAGCAAGTTCACCTGAGTAGCTTGGTTATTTGGTCAGATATGTAATTTATTATAATAGGTAGTATATAATTATTTGACTCTACTATTTTTCTCTTATCTTTTTAAAGCAAATTAACTACTTAGGTCTACAAATCCTCCTAAACACTTTGACATTTTCCTAATTCCATAAAGTGATCATAGAATTCTAGGGATATACCAAATAGTTTTCTTATTTCCCTTTATATAACCTCTAGAGCCTGATTAAAAATGCATTATATTTCCCCTAGTTTCCACAAGCCCCATGATGTCATCAATGTAATGTTGAATTGAGTACAAAATTGTTATAATTTTGAATACTGCCTTACATAACATTTTATCATATTATACAATACACATTTTATACACTAATGACATGCTTTTAAAGTTTCTCTGCTGTGGACAAAGAGAAAACCATAACCAAAGTTCATATGATTTTTAAAAACAATTCTATAATGGTAAGGATTTGACTGAGTGAATAGACTAGTTTACTCATCAAAATTGTTTTATTTGAGTCATACCTTCAGAAATGTTTTGAAAGTTATTTTTATTATTAATCATTGGATTTCTTAAATGCAAATAAAAAGAAAACGTGATCTGCATTCCATTTTTTTAACCTATGGGAAAACATACACATATGCTTTCTTAATTTTTCTGAAAGGAAGAGAAAAGAATCTTGAAACCTTCTCTGAACTGTTTTTTCCCTCCTTTGTTACAGGTAGCCATTTCTCATCTACTTAATCTTTAAAACAAAAGTAAAAAAAAAAATGGATTTTTTAAACTCATCTGATCAAAACTTGACCTCAGAGGAACTGTTAAACAGAATGCCATCCAAAATCCTGGTGTCACTCACCCTCTCTGGGCTGGCACTGATGACAACGACCATCAACTCCTTGGTGATTGCTGCAATTATTGTAACCCGGAAGCTGCACCATCCAGCCAACTATTTAATTTGCTCCCTTGCAGTCACAGATTTTCTTGTAGCTGTCCTGGTGATGCCCTTCAGCATTGTGTATATTGTGAGAGAGAGCTGGATAATGGGGCAAGTGGTCTGTGACATTTGGCTGAGTGTTGACATTATCTGTTGCACGTGCTCCATCTTGCATCTCTCAGCTATAGCTTTGGATCGATATCGGGCAATCACAGATGCTGTTGAGTATGCCAGGAAAAGGACTCCCAAGCATGCTGGCATTATGATCACAGTAGTTTGGATTATATCTGTCTTTATCTCAATGCCTCCTCTGTTCTGGAGGCACCAAGGAACTAGCCGAGATGACGAGTGCATCATCAAGCACGACCACATTGTTTCCACTATTTACTCAACATTTGGAGCTTTCTACATCCCACTTGTATTGATTTTGATCCTCTACTACAAAATATATAGAGCAGCAAAGACATTATACCACAAGAGACAAGCAAGTAGGATTGCAAAGGAGGAGCTGAATGGCCAAGTACTTTTGGAGAGTGGTGAGAAAAGCACTAGATTGGTCTCCACACCCTACACGCTGGAAAAGTCTTTATCTGATCCATCAACAGACCTTGACAAACTTCATGGCACAGTGAAAAGTTCCAGGTCTGAATTAAAGCATGAGAAATCTTGGAGAAGGCAAAAGATCTCAGGCACGAGAGAACGCAAAGCTGCCACTACCCTGGGATTAATCTTGGGTGCATTTGTAATATGTTGGCTTCCTTTTTTTGTAAAAGAATTAGTTGTTAATGTCTGTGAAAGATGTAAAATTTCTGAAGAAATGTCAAATTTTTTGGCATGGCTTGGATATCTCAATTCTCTTATCAATCCACTGATTTATACAATCTTTAACGAAGACTTCAAGAAAGCATTCCAAAAACTTGTGCGATGTCGCTGTTAGTTCAAAGAAAGTTAATTATTAAGGGATGGAGCTTTTTGGAGGAGAAATAGCTAAATGAATGCTAAGAAACAAAACATTTAAGTTTTAGAGAAAAATGTGTTAAAACTTCTAAAATGATAAGAATTGAATTTATATTTTAATAGTATCATGAATATAAAATTCATTGATAAAATATAAAATTCATCATTCTAGAGTACTCAGAAAATGACTTATGCAGATTATGAAAAACATTTTGCCTATGCAATGTTTATAAAAAGCTAACTGGATTTTATACATATATACATATACATACCTATATATTATTAATGACAGTGGTATTCCAGGTTTATGTCTTACAGCAATTATAGAGGAATTTTTAATTAACAACACAATTCCATCCATAATTTCTATATAATCCTATTGTTTTATATAATTCTATTATTTTATACAAAATATATAATTTACCACAAGGCTCACACTTCTCGTGTTACCTAACAACTCTTATCCCTTATCCATCTTATCCTGAGCAAAAGGAAGGAAGTAATGGCTCTTACTTGGTGTGACTTGAGTAAACACAAAAGAGAGATTGATACTGTTTGAATTTAGACAGTAAAGAGTAATCAGAAAGTGAGTTAAGGATAGAAAAGTAATTCTGGATGCAGGACTTGTACATACTTAAGGTATGTACTCTATTTAATGTAAGTTCCTAGAAGAATATTATCTTAACCATAGATTATCAACATTTGAAATCTAAGTCTTCACAAGGAGTCAAAGAATTCAGTAGGGGTGGTGGAAAAGATGGTGTTATAACTGCCCCTTATTTATTTAGGAATCAAACTTAAGGCAGTATGTATGCTAGGTTATTTACCTATACTTCTATTGCCTTTTTAATTTTTTTATTATTTATTTGATAGGCAGAGAGACAGAGGCGGACAGAGTTCCCGTCTGCTGATTCACTTCCCAAATGCTCACAATGGCCCAGACTGGCCAGGCAGAAGCCAAGAGACAAGACCTCAATCCAGGTCTCTCGCATACATGGCAAGGATGCGATTACTTGACCCATCACAGCTTCCTCCCAGGCTGTGCATTGGCAGGAATTGAGAATTGATCAAAGGCACTCCCAGATGGGACACAGGCATATCAATCTCTATGCTAAATATCCTTTCCCTCTAATGTCTTTTTAAAATATAAAATATTATTTCATTATATTAACTTAGTAAGTTCAGTTTATAAATAAAATGGGTACTTTGTATTCAGCATCTCCATATTTTTATTTTAATATTTTTCCTTTTATTAGAAAGAATATTCTACAGCCATACCACCCTTAATGCACCATATCTCATCTAGAGAGAATATAATAGGAAATCTTAGTACTTTCTATTGACTTCAAAAGAATATCAAATTTTCCAACTGGTAGAAATGAATAGGCAAAGACTCATATTATAGAATGTATGAGTTAGCCATTTCTAAATTTGTATTTTTATTGAAAGCAATAAAACTGCTTCTGAGAGTTCATCTTATTTGAAACTACAAGGTCACTGACCACCTTTTAGAAAATTAATCATCAATTAAGATCACTTGAAAACAACACAATCCTTTTTTTAAAACTATAACTTTATGTATGTTGTAAAATATTCTTTCTTGATGGGATGCTTAAGAGTGCATTACATCAAAGTTTTTTCAGCATCTGTGACACATTACTCTCAATGTATGAAATTTTTAGAGTTCCCATTTTATCCAAGACATTGAGACATTTGCTAGAGAGAAGATACAGAACGTGATAAATTTAGTTTTTCCCTTTATATGCTCACAATCTAAAGTGAGAAACAAGAGAAAAATGACAAAGCTATAATAGAAAAAAGCCAAAAATCTAATAGAGAAGTTATGTAGTAATGAGCGTTCAGAGTCAAAATTTATCACATCTGTTTGACAAAAATAATTACAGAGCTGGCACTGCGGTATAGCGGGTAAAGTTGCTGCCTGCAGTGCCAGTATCCCATATGGGCGCTGGTTCGAGTCCCAGCTGCTTCATACAGCTGCTTCCGATACAGCTCTCTGCTCTGGCCTGGGAAAGCAGTAGAAGATGGCCCAAGTCCTTGGGCCCCTGCACCTGTGTGGGAGACCTGGAAGAAGCTCCTGGCTCCTGGCTTCGGATCAGCACAGCTCTGCTGCAACCATCTTGGGGTTGAACCAGCAGATGGAAGTCCTCTCTCTGTCTTTTGTTCTTTCTGACTCTGCCTCTCTGTAGCTCTGCATTTCAAATGAATAAATAAATATTTTAAAAAATAAACAGAAAAAATTAAAACCTAAAAAAAGAAAAATTTCATAAGCAATGAATTTAAAGCATGCATCAGCTATACAAGAGAAATGGAAGAACAAACTCCAGGTGGTCACAACACCAGGAGTTCGGGCTGCATCATCCAAGTATGTTGTGGGGCGTCTTCATGAAAGAGCTGTGAGTTTGGCAGTTATTTAGAGGAATAGAGGAAAGGGAGAGGAAAAGACAACTTTGCATTATTGTGGCTGACTTTGTCAGAAAAACAGTATCTATTGTATTGTGTTGATATGAGTGGGTGGTCACTGATGCTTTTTTCGTATAAATATAGCAAATTTAGGGCAAATCTTTAAAAAATTATCTGAATTGAGCAATGAGGGCACTATAAATAATGACTTGTTAGAAAACAAACCAATAATCCAAGAAAGAGGTGATGAAGCCCTGTACTTGATGCTGACAATGGGAATAAAAAGAAAGAAACAAGTGGGCAATGTGAAGGAAGAAGCTACAGAATGTGACAAATACTTTAATATAAGCCAGCAAAGGGAATCATATGGAGTGCTATGATAATGTCATCCTATACTGACATGTGGATCTCAACAGAATGAGCCCAATGCTGAAATAATGACTTCTGGATATGGTAAGCACATAAAGACAGGCCAGATCAAAAGGCACTGCTGAACACTGGCAAGCCCGAACAAAATGGACAGCTAGTTGAGATTTCCCTCTGACCTCAAAACTGAAAGACCAATAAGGCCACCTTTCTTGTCCTCACTTCTCTTTGTCTCCCAGAGCCCTTGTGTCTCCTGACAGTCCGAAGCCTACTATAGTCCCTAGCATTCTCTGCTTCTTTCTCTCTCCCATTCTCACTTATCAAAATTTGCTTCAGTTACTTATTCATTCAAAGGACTTACCAAAGTTTAAATAACCTGTTAATTAGCTTACTTAACTTATCTCAAAATCTGTGATACTTTTAAGCCTTACATACACAGTTCATCAACCTGGAAGAACAATTTCAAACACAGGAAGATTCACCCAAATACACATACTGCCCTCCGATGTGAGTTGGACTGATGCTGAAATGTAGGAAGATAGTACTATAAGTGACAGAGAAGTCACATCTCCGTTCAAAGCTCATGGGATCAAGTTTATTACATATGTTTGAAGCCACTTTTTATAAAATTAATTTATTTGTTTTAAAGGCAGGGTATCAAAAAGAGAGAGAGTCAGAGAGAGAGGGAGTGAAGGAGGGAGGGAGAGATCTTCCATTCACTGATTCACTCTCCAAATGCCCACAACAGCCAGAAGTAGGTCAGGCTAAAGCCAGGAGATAGGAACTCCATCTGGGTCTTCCATGTAGGTGTCAGGAACCCAACTATTTGGACCATCATCCACTGCCTCCCAGATGCATTAACAGGAAACAAAGATAGGAAATATAGAGTAGCTGGGACTTGAACCAGGCACACCCAAATAGAATGTGGGCATCTTAAGCAGTGTTTTAATCCATGGCACCACAACACCCACCCCAAGTCATTTTTAAGTACTGACAGGCAAGGACACATTGCAGTAATTAATTATTCATCTCTATGTTTCCCTTTATGCTGAGGATACAGATCATTTCATATCTTGCAAACAAATATGAGTGATTTAATGCATATAAATGGCAGATAGTATAGGGGCTCATAACCAGCAATTTATACTTTCTTTAAAATTTATGAAAAACACATTACACTTAACATGATAGACTTCTCTGAATATATTAGATTTATTCTCTCACTAAAAATTTTTCCAAGTTACTAAAAGCTGAGAATTTAAAAAAATATTTTTCACACCTATATCAAATGAAGCAATATAGTGATTCATTTATTTACTGGATAAGATAGAAGAAAAAAATCTAAATGTTATAGAAAGTGGATAGAGAGTAAATAATGAAAATTTACTTCTTGCTATAACTTTAAGTATACCAGCACCAGAAAAGTAGAAGTTTTTCTTTTCTTTTTTTTTTTTTTTTAAGATTTATTTGTTTGTTTGAAAGAGTTACAGAGTGAAAGGAAGAGTTCACTCCCCAGACGGCCACAACAGCCTGGGCTGGGCCAGACGGAAGCCAGGAACTAGGAAATTCCTCCAGGTTTCCCACATGGTACCGGGGGCAGAGCACTGGGGCCATCCTCTCGCAGGCACACCAGCAGAGAGCTGGATTGGAAGCAGAGCAGCCAGGACACAAACCAGCACCTCTATGGGAATCCAGTTTCACAGGCAGCAGCTTTACAGGCCCCCAGAGGTTTGTTGTTTTGTTTTGTTTTCCTATATTCCTATAAATCTCTCCAGATGGAGGATATGTGAAAGGCAGAGACAAGAAATCAGACACATCGGAAGTCAAAGTACTGAATACTAAACTGAATCCAGTACTCTATCATTAGACCTATGTGGACAAATTGTGCTAAAAAATTCACTTCTGCCTGTGAAACATGATGTTTACTCCAATACTGGCTTAAGAATACGGATTGCCTTGGTTAATAGGTGCTTTGTTTTGTTTTGTTTGATAATGCAGGGTCAAGTCCATAACACAAATCGCTTATCCGGGTATTGGCAGTTGATGGGTAGGACCAGTTGCCTTTTTGAATCTCCAAAATCAGTCTTTCTTTCCCTTTTATGGTGAGTTTGGGCCCCACCTATCCATCCCTAATATACCCTAGTGCATGCATGTTCCTTGTTTCTATCAGTTAAATCAGTTCCAAATTAATTCTCTTAGGAGAGGATAACCCCACATTCACAGGCTCTATGTTAAGCTTGCCCCTGTGTATATGAGCTTTTTATCAAAAATAAAGGAAGAATTCATTAGAAGCCAATTACTGGGTGTGTGTTGATGTGCCCCACAAAATAGATAGGATTAATCATATGCTTATTGCTAAAATGTGTTCCTCTATTTCCAGAAAGAAGCAATTTTCTAATGCATTTATAGAAGACTATTTTTACTCCAATGTCATAGAATCAAGTTTTCTGTATTGCAATAGAAAGGGATTGTGAAGGATTTTTCCTTAATGTATTTCAAAGTCCTTCAAAAATAATCCTGTCTGGTGCCAGACCTGTGAAACAGTGGGTTAAAGCCCCTGCCTGTAGCACCAGCACCCCATATGTCACCAGTTCAAATCCTGGCTGCTCCACTTCCAATCCTGCTCTTTGCTGCTGTACCTAGAAAAGCAGGAGGATGGCCCTTGTGCTTGGGCCCCTGCACCTGTATGGAGACCCCGAAGGAGCTCCTGGCTCCTGGCTTTGGAACAGCTCAGCTCTGGCCATTGCCGCCATTTGGGGAGTGAACCAGTGGATAGAAGATCTCTTTCTCTCTGTCTCTAGCTCTCTCTGTAACTCTGTCTTTCAAATAAATAAAATAAATTTTAAAAAATCCTGTTCAACTCAAAATGTGTCCATATTGATTTGTTTCAGAAAATGTGTTTCTAATATTCTCCTAATAACCAAAGTGATTATATTTAGATCTTTATTTTGCCAGGAAAGATTTCTAAAAGCAAATTAATATTTTTATTATGAATAAAGTATTTTCTTATGACTTTGTGATCATTATTCTTGGGCTTTTCAATCAATATGTTTTCTCTCACTATTTAAAATAAGGGACTTTTTCCTGAGAGAAATGTTTCCCAGCAATATAATGAATGTTTGGATATTGATATAGAATGTCTTCTCTATATGTGGTAGTACTTGAAATCCACTTGGGAAAGACAGAACTTTCTCTGAGGATGTATACTCTCTGACTAAGCCACGAACCATAAGAATCCTGTATAAAAAAATGCATGAGATTGTCTCTATCAACAATACCAACAATAAATCATGTCAAACAGTCTTTTATTAAAGCTTGTGTTTAGTCAGAACTCTACTATTTACCAAGGAGAGTTTCCACCTCAGCAAGGACACTAAAATTATGTTACTGGCTTACACAGACACAGCAAACTTGCTGTGCCTTTCTTCCTGTGTTCCCCATATCTTTTCATTGTGTTCTGTGAATGTCCCCGAACTATATATCTTTAATAATCATGTCTAAAATGATATTTTATATATGCTGTGTCATGATTTATTATATAATTATAATTGTATTATATGGCTGAATCTACTACCTTGGGGTTTCCTCTATCTCAATTAATAAAGGAATATTTTACTCAGCCCCCTACCCCACCACTTATACATCCGTTGATCTATTTTCTGTTTCTGTTAGTCAGCTTTGCTGGGTCAAGGCTATCAAGGCCCTAGTTAGGAGGGTGTGTGCAATAGCGTGTGTGTCCATATTGCAAGGCTAATGTGAAGAACTGAACTGTGGGGGGAAAAATGATTTCCTTAGCCCAGCCTACTATTGAACTTAAAGATGAAGATGGAAGTAGAAAGAAGAGGATTTTTCAATAGGAAGGAAAAAGGCTACTTCAAGTTTCAGATTTTAAAAATCAGTGTGCAGAAGAGTCACTCGAGATGCTTGTTAGAAAATTCCAAGAAGTCTGAGTCCCTAAGCCCAAAGTAGAACACAAGAATCTGAGTCCTTAGCAAGAATCCTGGGTTATTCTAACGAGAATGAAGCTTGTGGAGCTCTGGGTCTGGACACCACTGTTTTAAAGCTCCAAGCCAGTTCAGTGTTTCTGTTGAACCATGGTTACAGTAAGTGGAAATACACCATGACTTTATCAGATGACCTCCATTTCCAACCTAGAAAACTACAATAGTACATATGAAAAGTGCCTATACAAAACAAAGCAAGCAGAAGGAAAAAAAAATCAATATTGCTGAATGTAATTAAAGAATTCAGTTTTTTTTTTTAAAGAATTATTTATTTATTTGAAAGGCAGAGTTACAGAGGTAGAGGCAGGGAGAAAAAATGTTCCATCTGCTGGTTCACTACCCAAATGGCAGCAATGGCTGGAGCTGGGCCAATCCAAAGCCAGGAGCCTGGAGCATAGCTCCAGGGGTGCGCATTGCCAAAGTCCAAGGACTTGAGCCATCTTCTACTGCTTTCCCAGGGTGTAGCAGAGAGCTAAATCAGAAGTGGAGCAGCAAGGACTCGAAGGGCACCCATATAGAATTCCAGAACTACAGGCGGTGGCTTTATCCACTATGCCCCAAGAATTTAGTTTAAAAAAAAATTAAAATCTCTTCTCAGACAGATTGTTGTTTACATTTTCTAGGGTAAAGAATAGGCTTGGAGAACTAAATAATCTCCTAGATTTTAAATCATAAAAGATTAATGATTCCTGATTCTTCTGCTAATCGTTAACCTGATGCTGAGCAATTGTCCTCCATCCTGCTTTCCTCAGATTACAGTGAAAAGGCTAAGGAGAAAGACTGAGAGAACCCCAATACTAAGACTGAGAGAACCCCAATACTATCATTATTCCCTATAGTAAGTAAAGTCAGAATGCACTTCATGGAACGTTCTGTTCTACTTGGTGAGCTGCCTTTTTCTGAGCCAGGAGAGGAGCCAGTGGATAGTTATTGGCCTGCTCCTGGCTGTCTCTATAGGACAGCTCACTCCCCACAACCATATACTCATCTACAGACAGGCCACCCTTCTGAGTACTCTTCCGTCATCCCTCTCAATCTGCATTGCCATCCCTGTTGCTTAAAGCCTGGAGTCTTCAAAACCTATTTAGCTTTCCAGAAGGCTGTGATATCACATATCCTTCTACCCTATTAAAGTCACAACTGCAGTTATTTCAGCATTAATTTCTGCTGTTGAGCTGTGCAGAGATGATTTCTCATATGTTCCAGGGTTAGAGCATCATTTTAATCCTTTAAATAATAAAGCAGAAAGTCTCTTTTAAAACAAGAATTCTAAGTTGATGAAAACAAAATGTTAGGGTTAATTTTAGGCTCCAGTAAGTATAAGAAAAAAACAATACTAATTTACAGGAGAATATCAATATTTAAAGAAATTACTCAATAATGGCTTACTTTTCCTTATTACATTGCATCCAGACTCCCTCGGTTGGCTTTTAGGATCTTAATATAAGTGACAAAACACCACTTTCTGGAAAAAACCTTACTTCCCACTCTCCTCTTTGGTCCCCACAAATACTCCCTTTCCCAGTCTGGTCCCTATTCATGGTCCTCATCTTGTCTCCATTGCTCTTTCGACTTTTTTTGTTTTCCTCTCACCTTTCTGAAAAGCCCTCAGATGTTAGGCAATTTATCCCTCCAAGCACAGATAAAATTCTACTTCCTCTTTGAAACTGAAGTTGTATTATGCTTGAAGTCAATATCACATGATATGATCTCCAATAATTTCTTTTTTTGTTTTTAATAACTCTAATTTCTTCATTGGTGCTTGGTTTCTATCCCAACTGAAAACAGTAATGTAAATTACTTAAAGGATGGATATTTGTTTTTTTTATAATCCTCCACACCTCTCCTAAACATTTTTGAGTACTGATCTCCTTCTTGAGTAAGCCTGGTCCATTTCACTGTTTTCTAGTAACTAAAATATAAACAATTGATTTATCTTGAAAACTGTATTTTATAAGAAATACAAATGTGTTATCAAAAAGGAAATTGAGAGTTTTCTAAGGACAGAAAAGCAGGGACTAGCGTTGTGGCACAGAGGGTAAAGCTACCACCTGTGATGCCTGCATCCCATAAGGATGCTGGTTTCAGTGGTTGACCACACTTCCGTTTCAGCTTCTTGTTAATATTCCTGAAAAAAGTAACAAAAGATGGCTCAAGCGCTTGGGCCTCTACAACCAAGTGGGAGACTGGGATGATGCTTCCGGCTTTAGCCTGGCCCAGCCCTGGTCCTTGCGGCCACCTGGGGTGTGAACCAGCATCTTGAGGATCACTCTCTGTCTCTCCCTTTTTCTCTGTAACTCTGACATTCAACATAAATAAATAAATATCTAATAATAATAAAATATATTATTATATCATATAAATAATTAAAACAATAGCAACTGGGGCTGGCGCTGTGGCATAGAGGGTTAAGCCACTGCCTGCAGTGCTGGCATCCCATATGGGCACCGGTTTGAGACTCCGCTGCTCTTCTTCTGATCCAGCTCTCTGCTATGGCCTGGGACAGCAGTGGAAGATGGCCCAAGTCCTTGGGCCCTGGCACCCACATAGGAGACCTGGAAGAAGTTCCTGACTCCTGGCTTTGGATCAGTACAGCTTCGGCCATTGAGACCAATTGAGGAGTGAACCAGTGGATGGAAGATCTCTCTCTCTGCCTCTGTATCTCCTTCTCTCTCTGTGTAACTCTGACTCTCAAATAAATAAATCTTAAAAAAAATGGTAACAAAAAGGACAGAAAAGTAGATATTATTTTTCAATAACTATGGAATATCTGAAAATAAAATACTTGAAATTCATAGAACACTAATTTCCTGGAAATCTCTGTGCACAATGATACATTTCAATAAGTTTCTAATTATTCATTATTAATCATATATGAAATATATAAAATGCTTTAAATCATCTATTTCCAAAGGCAATGTTTTATTTACTACCTTTAAATAGATATAAATATATACACTTAGTTATATTAAAATTATAAGCTGTTGGCTTCAACCTACCTGATACAGTATTATTCCTCATTAGACCCAAGGCCCCCCTCTATTCCACAATTTGTGTGTGGATGAAAAGACAGCATGTTAAATTAGAAAATATGTCTAATGTGAAGTAGGAAATGCAATGTTTTTTGGCTCAAAAGGAACAGTTTTTACTTTCTGGGAAATTCTCAAAATCACTTGGTGTATTTTTGAAAGCTGCAGAAACAATTTTTTACCAGTTTCACTTGGTTCAAGAATCTTAAAAGAGGTAGTAAGTACTCAGGGTCCATACCCACCTCACCACCCTATATAATTATGGTACAAGCACTAGCAAGCTAACCAAACACAGAAATGCCAAATCATGAAAACAGCCCACAAGCACCTGAGAATCACTTCAGCCTTGGAAAATAAAACAGAACGTTAGCCCTGGCAACCAAAGTGCACTCCCCTTATTCTGCAAGGGGCCAATTTGTCATGGTGGTCCCTCAGCCATAAATTCGGGGCCTAAGTCCATATCCCCAGAAGGAAAAAAAAGGCATAAAGGTGAATTGCAAGTTCCTATTTTCTTCTTATATTTCTTTGTGTACTAGTGTCTCAAAATATGAAACTGAACTTAGCAACAATTTTCTGTATTAAGCTTGCTGTTCTGTTATATCTTCCTATTGACTGAAAGCTTTAATACTACTATTCTACTTGCCATACTTACACAAAAATGATTCCGATTATAAATGCATGTGTACATTAGGAATCTCTGTCCTTCTCTCTGTTCTCATTAGTATATCACATGGAAAACATCTGAAAATTCAAGTTGGATAACAGACTTCTTATATTTATATTTTCCATTGAATAATGTCTGAACTATAGTGGTATATGTATGACATTAAAACAGGGTCAAAAATTTAATTCATTTTATTTCTCAAAATCTTTCCATTGGTGAAAAATAATACATGACAGTTGTTATTTTTAGTAAAAAATAAAAATAAAAAAGTTTATTTTTATAATTTTAATATCAATTACCCAAACTACAGAATATGTTCAAACATGAATTTGAATAGTCTATGAAATATAAAAATCAATTCAATTTGTTGAAGAGAGTGATTAAAAAATGTATCCTGGAATTTGATGTTACTTAACCAAAGACATAGGAAAATGTGAAATAAACCACATTGTTCAAATAATGTGTGTTGGTTTTAACTTAATGATTTCAAAATATCCTATAGTAGTCTGTTACGAAAACTACAAAGGAAGAATGATAATATGCAACAGACATGGATTTTAAGCACCCCAGTGTTTTGCCATGATATTTGCAGCAGCCTGAGCTACTTAGTGAATCTCCCCCACCTGACAAAGAACTACAATAACATCACCCTGATCCTTCACCTTACCTCACTAAATTTACAGTTGGCCTTTTTTCTTCATTTTTTCTTCTCTCTGACAGGCAGAGTTAGTGAGAGAGAGAGACAGGGAGAAAGGTCTTCCTTTGCCATTGGTTCACCCCCCAATGGCCACTGCGGCCAGCGCTGTGGCCAACACACCACACTGATCCGAAGCCAGGAGCCAGGTGCTTCTCCTGGTCTCCCATGCGGGTGCAGGGCCCAAGGACTTGGGTCATCCTCCACTGCACTCCCGGGCCACAGCAGAGAGCTGGCCTGGAAGAGGGGCAACCAGGACAGAATCCAGCACCCCGACCGGGACTAGAACCCGGTATGCCGGCACCACAGGCGGAGGATTAGCCTATTGAGCCACGGCACCGGCCATACAGTTAGCCTTGTAGTTTTGAAAAAAGTCAATTTAGAACAAAGACAATTCCTTTTATTTTTCTTGAACTAAAAAAAGTAAAAATAGTTTTTGAGATACACTGTTACAAATAATGTTCAAGTACAAATGTGTTTTATTCTGAATTCCAATCTCAGAATAGTTTTGAATGTAATTACATTGAATTATATATTAAACTTTGAGAAACAACTTCTTTCAACTTCTCCCTCCCAAAATAAATCTTCATAAAAACAAAGAGAAAAAAAAAGTTAACATTAAGAGGATGAGAAGAAAAGATTATAATGCTGTTTAAATAATGCCAGAGTACTTCAAAAGGTTCATGGAAAATGGAATTAAAATATAAATTTAATTTAGTGCAAAAAGCTTTTGAAATGTATACATAAAGTGGTCTTCAAAAAGTTTGCAAAAACTACAAATTATAAAAAGTGCATTTCAAAAATTTTGTACCAAAATAAATCTTTTGTTGCATTTTCCCATGAACTTTTTTGAAGAGAAAGCTAGATCTTCATATTTTATTATTATGAAAACTATATCAAAGAGAAAGCAATAGAAAAAAATGTGCACATAGACACAAATATTTGAGAATAATTGTGCACCCAGGGGAAAACTGCTTCTGTTTTGTTTTGTTTCACTTTTTTTTCCTTTCTCTTTCTCCCCTCTCTTCGTTTCTGTCCTTTTGATTATAGGCGTAGTGTATGCTACATACTAGAGTATTTATACAGTGCATAGAGCTAGTTTAAATGTTGGAGCTTTGGTTTCTGCAAACTTGACGTTTGAGGTATTCAGTGTAATTATGGGAAGCCAAAGCTCTATTCTTGCTGAGGAACGATCCACAGGCACATCTGCCCCCTTGTGGTGACTTTGGGTGTTGGCCCCATTCAAAGGTGATGGCTGGTTTGCAATTTGCAGCACAGGCAATCACAAGGAGTGACGCTGGTTCTCTAACTATGCCAACCTCCGCGCTTCACATCAAAGACTGAGCTCACTCAGATAGAAGAAACAAATTAACAGTGCAAAGCCTGAAGTGTTTATTTCCTATTCTGCCTGCTGGTAACCATCACGCCACAAAATGTATCTCTTTGTTCAATTTTCAAAGCAAATTGTATCATGTACTTTGTCAGATTAACTCGGCTGAATTTAAATTTGTGCTTCTAACACAATTGGAATGTTTGTTCAAAGATACAGGTGTCAGGGGATGCCATTGTTGCAGTGGGTTAAGCTCTGTCTTAGGAGACTCACATTCCATATAGGAGTGCAGATTTGTGTCCTGACCACTGCACTTCCTTTCCAGCTTCCTGCTGATGCCCCTGGGAAGCAGCGATGATGGCACAAATACTGGAGCTCCTGCCCCCAATGTGGGAGACCCAGTTGGAGCTCCTGGCTCCTGGCCCAGCCCCAGATGTTTTGGACATTTGAGGAGTGAAGCAGTGGATGGAAGATTTCTCTTTCTCTCTGTCTCCCCGACCCATATCCTGCCCTCCCTCCGCTTCTCACTCTTTCCCCTTCTCTCTATGTGTCTTTCAAATAAATTATAAAATAAAATTTTTAAAAAGATACAGGTGCCCATACCATGTCTTGACACTGCTCTTGAAGGAGCCTTTCCAATTGACTCCCTAAAAGGCTGTCATTTCATTGTATTTGGTAGTAGGATCTGCAATATGAATTTTTCTAGCTCTTTCCAAATATGTGTGGGAAAAACTAGGCAGTCTATTTCTCAGAGATATGGCAGAGAATGCAACTTAGAATTTCTTCCTCTGAAAAATTTGCACCAAACTTTTAATAATGTTTTTAAGTGATTTGCAATTTAGCTATAGTGAATTTTTAATTTGGACTTCTTTCAAGTTGTCCTCTTTGGGGTTCACTGGGGTTCCTAGAGCGAATGCTTGTTTTCTTTCGTAAGTTCTGAAAAGCTCTTAGTTCAAATATAGTCTCTAACCCATTTCTCTCTTCTCCTTTTTGAATTCCAACCAAGTATATGTTAACAGCATCTTATTCTGCACTTCATGTCTCTTTCCTATTTTCTACTTCTTTGCACTCTGAATAAAATCATCCAATGAGTTCTAAATTTACATTATTACATTTTTTTCTAAAAGTGTTCCATTTAGAAGTGCTTCTAAAAGTGTTGGGTTTAGTTTTTTGTTTTTTGTTTGTTTGTTTGTTTGTTTTGAAAAAGAGAGAGAGAGAAAGAAATCTTCCATCCCCTCGTTCATTTCCTGGATGCCTACAATAGCCAGGGTCCAGCTAGGTGGTGAAGCTGGGAATTCCAGACTCAACCTGGGTCTCCCACATGGGTTGCAGAGACCCGAGTACTTGCACTTGCTACTTCCCAGGCTGCACATTAGCAAAAAACTGGATTAGAAGCAGAGTTGTCGGAACTCAAACCAGTCACTCTGATATGGTATACAAGTGTCCCAGGCAGCAAATTAACTACTGTGCCAATGGCCCGCCCCTGAATCCACATTTTTCAAGGACTTTTCTTCTTATCTGAGGCATCATAGTCTTTCTAATTTATTTACAACCCACGACTTTGGTATTTTGTATTTGGGGACCATTTTTCTTCCCAAATCTCTTTTGAAAAAAATGAGACTGTCCATTCAAACTGGACACAGATTGCAAAAATAAGTAGAAATTGCTGAAGATGAGCTCTCCTGAAAAATTCATAGGAGGCTGGGAAAATATTAGGTGTTTCACACATCCATTTACTCTTTCCTCATTATTTTGTGCCTTTTAATTCTTTGAAGCACTTTAAACAAGCATTTTTATACTTTCAGTCTCATGAGTCCTATACCTGAAGACTTTGGAGCCTGTTGTTTATGCTTGTTATCATTTATCATGCTTTGTTTCCTTAAAATTTGATTGATTTTTTTCTCCTCACTTTGAGTTTCTCATTTTCACTGGAACTTTATGGCAATTCTTTGAGGGCTGTGATGAAGGTGGGAGGAGTAGCGCTTGCTTCTGTCAGGCATCAGTGAGCAAGCATCAGCAGCACTGTGTCCATTTAAACTAGATCGCTTGTGTGTGTGGTCACACCAGTTGGTGTGAACTCAAGATATAAACTAGAACAGAAGCCACAGTGTGGCTGTGAGTCCTCAGGTAAAAGTCTTTCCACCTCCAATCAGAATCAAGATTCAACGCTTGGGTTTCACAATGGGAAATTGTCTTAAACTGGCAGTATAGTGCTTTGGGAATTCAATTTTATTTGGAAGGGGTCTCCTAATATAATCACAAACCTAAGTGGGGCATTGACTTTGTCTCTCATGCCTGAAATTTTAAAAACCAGTGCTTAAGATCAAAGTTAATGCCCTGGCCTGAAGTGCTGGCATCCCATATGGGCGCCAGTTCCAGTCCTGGCTGCTCCTCTTCCGATCCAGCTCTCTGCCAAGGCCTGAGAAAGCAGTGGAAGATGGCCCAAGTCCTTGGGCCCCTGCACCCTTGTGGGAGACCCAGAAGAAGCTCCTGGCTCCTGGCTTCAGATTGGCGCAGCTCCAGCCATTGAAGCCAACTGGAGAGTGAATCAGCAGATGGAAGACCTCTATCTCTGTCTCTAACTCTGTAATTCTGTCTTCCAAATAAATAAAAAATAAATCTTTTTTTTTAAAATCATTTGAATTAAGCAAATTTCATTAAGGCAAAAGCCAGCATTAGTGTTTTGCTTATCTCCCAGGGTCCCTACCTTTATCTGATTTGGGGCCTTACTAATACAGTATTTGTTTGTTTGTTTTTTTGCCAATATTTGTATGCATTTAGAATTTTTAAGATATTTTTATTCAGCACTTTCAGTTGTTTTCAGCAGTAGAAACTTAGGTATTTAATTCCCTATGTTACTAGTAATGGAAGCCAAATTTTTTAAATGTGCTTTTCCTTCTGTATTCATTAAAATTATCTCAAACCTTTACTGCATTTTATATAAATTATTTCATCCTTTACTGTTTCTGATGTTATGATTTATTTATGAGGTTGTTGGTTGGTTCTCAAATTGTTTTCTTATTTCTGAAATCTTTTAACCTGTTAAGCCTAATCATCTTGTTTTCTAGCTCTTATTGAATTATTTATTTTGTTATGTTATTGCACAACATAAAACATTCATGAGGGATCAGCCTCTGTAGTCTGAACTTTCCTTACATCCAGGCTTTTGCATGTTATGAGCCTTAAGTCTCTCTTTTTTCCTCTTTCCTCCCCTTTATTCTTTCCTTTGTCTTTCTTCCTTCATTCCTTATTTCACTTCTCCCTTCCTTCCTGGTTCCTTTTTTCACTCTGCTATAGTTCCATAATTTCCTTGCCATTTATTTTTATATCTCTCTCTTTTTTTTTTTTTACAGGAAGAGTTAGACAGTGAGAGAGAGAGAGAGAGAGACAGAGAGAAAGGTCTTCCTTCCATTGGTTCACCCCCCAAATGGCCACCACAGCCAGTGCACTGCGCCGATCTGAAGCGAAGCCAGGAGCCAGGTGCTTCCTCCTGGTCTCCCATGTGGGTGCAGGGCCCAAGCACTTGGGCCATCCTCCACTGCCTCCCCAGGCCACAGCAGAGAGCTGGACTGGAGGAGGAGCAACCGGGACAGACTCCAGTGTCCTAAGCAGGACTAGAACCCAGGGTGCCGGCGCCGCAGGTGGAGGATTAGCCTAGTGAGCCATGGCTCTGGCTCATTTATTTTTATCTTGATCACAATTATTATCAGGTATTTCTGTCCAAACGTAGTATATATAAATTTTCCTTGAATCTCTTACTATATTATCTATTTTTGATTTTTTATTTGAAATATGGAGATACAAAGACATACAGAAAGAAACATCTCCCACCCACTGGTTCATGCCCCATATACCCACAGCTGAGGCTGAATCAGGCTGAAGCTAAGAGCCCAGAACTCCATCCAGGTCTTCCACATGAGTGGCAAGGAGCCAACTATTTGAGCCATCACCTGCTGCCTCCCAGGGTACACATTAGCAGGAAGCTAGAATTGGATGAGGATCCAGGACTCAAACCCAGGCACTCTGATGTGAGAAGCAAGCATCCCAAGCAGACATCTTAACTGCTATGCCAAACGCACACCCCATCTTATCTATAACCAGTCTTTCCTTCAAGGGTAAGAGCCTGCAGAGATGGCAGGGTTGGATCACTGCTGTGGGAGAATATTACTCAGGCCAGAAACCTGGCCTCTGAGTTCTTTTCTGAGATCCACTCATGAATGGGTTATTGGGCTGAGATCCACTCATGAATGGGTTTTCATTCTAATATCGTATGGTTCCATTAAAGATACTGAGTCTATTGGCCCTCCTTATCTTTGATGAATTTCCAAGGATGCAATTGGTTCATATCTTTGTGGCTGTCTTCATTTTTCTCAGGGCTACTTACTTAACTACTGTTCTTCAGTCCACATGTTTCCAAATTAGATAAAATTACTGGCATCACAGGATCCTCTAGATTCATTTTCCCCAATGATTCTTATGAAAATTGGAGGTTAAAAAGTCTAATACAATGTGCCAATATTTTCAGTTTCTTGGTTGACCCTATTTCTTTTTATTTATTTTGTTAGCTTGTTGCCTTTGCTTTGTTGCTTCTGGTAAATTAATTATACCCTTCTCCTCCCTTCTGTAAGTTTTATAATTACTTATTTCATCATGTACATAGGTATTGGGGGGGTCCTACCTCTTTCTACTGCTCTTAGCCAAATACACTATCTTGCAACAAAAACTATTAATTTACGGGTAACTTAATTTTAGATAATTAAATTTAAGTGACATATATCTGTGAAGGATAATGTACAGCTAATGAGAGTAGTTATTTACCTAATCAGCACCCCAGGAGACAACACAAGTAGAAATTAAACAAAAAATCATTTTTGTTGGAAAGGGTATCATTCTAGGTGTCAGACTGAAGTGACAGCCCACAGAAAGAGTCATAGTATCCCGTATCCAGAGGCAGTGGACAATTCTTATTCTCTGGAAGAAAGCTCTCCAAGTACCAGAGGAATACAAAACTACCTAAATAAATTATACTACTTCTTTTTCACAGTCAGTCCAGTGCTATTTTTATTTCAAAAAGAAAAGGTAGCCACAAAAATCTTCCTTATGTCAGGAAAAGAAATTACTGTTGATTTTTAAATAAGGTGGAAAAACCTCTGTAATTTAGTCACACTCAACTCCTACTACCACGCCTGAGGTTTAAGCTTTTAGAGAGCAGGGATTTGCAGTACTGTTTGCCGCCCCCTGCAGGAGAGTCTAGAATTCACAACGTTGGACTTGTGAAAAGAATAAAAATATCTATATCTGAAGGCAGACATGTACTAATAATCTTGAAACAGGAAAGATATGAAACTGTAAAGTATTTCTATTTCAGTTGTATATATCTCATTATTGGAGACTATTAAATGTTGAATGGTTGAAAAATGGAGACTTCTCATTTGAAGAGTTTAACAGTGAAAGAAAAAGAGAAATGTGCTTGAGATAGAGGTTATATGTAGATTTGGTTTTGATTCTAAAGCAACAGAGCAGTTGAACATCCATGTCAATGTGTAAAGTGTTACTTGATACAATGATGTTTTTCCCCTGAGTTTCTTTTCCATTAGTTGAACCTCCCTCATTCAAAGAAATGTCCCTCGAACAACTACAAATATTGGCCTTCAAGTTCAGAAACCTGGATGCAAGAATAACATATATGAAATTTTAAAAAATATTAGTCTTTAAACCATATTTTTCCTAAGCCATCACCCTCAAAAATAAAACAGAACTGTGTGATAAGCCCATACCATCTCAATAGTAAAAGTAGAACAGTCGGTGAATTCATTCATGGACGTGAAGGTGTCAGAAATTGAAAATCAGGCAAATCCATCTACTCTTCAAAAATACCTTGAAAATAAATTGCTTGAAGAAATTATATCCCAAAGATCCTACATGAGGAAATTTAAAGTTGTCATTAGTATGTCTATAACTCAAGTAACATCAGTTCATTCAAAAGGACTACTTTGAAGATTCACAGGAACTACGATGACTGTAATGGACAGCAGAAGGAATTGCAACATGAGCAAATCCTTAAATAAAAATTTATTGACTTTAAATAACTTTCCCTCATTTTACATAGTAAAAGAAAATATATAAACTTTACACTGGTTTGTGGGGGTAGGGAGAGAATATTTGTCTCATTCAACTCCTCAAACAATTAAGTTGGCAAGCATGGGGGTGGTTAAAAGAAAACCCCAGAATGTTTGGAGGACTGACAGTGAAGAATTTCTGAGCTTACTTCCCTTCTGGGACCCTGAGTAGATGGAAATTTCTATTCCACAGAATTTTGCCAGAGAAATTCTCATTCCAGAAAAGTGCAATGGCAGTCTTTCAAATAAACCCCTTAGGATGTGGAGGCAGAGAAATCTGATACAGCCCCAATGAGCGTGCTGCGACCTGTCGTGACAAAGGAGCTCTGCTCAAAAAGCCCATATAGGATACAGAAGTCAGAGACATCAGCTGCCTAGAAGGGGCCCTCTGGTGTGCAAGGAGAAGATACCACAGCAGATTGCATCTTCATTGTAATCGTATCTTGATACTGACTGATACCAGGATGGAAAAAAGAACTCCCAAATACCATGTAAAATGGGATACATTTCAAAGGTTACAGCACAACATTAAGCCAGATCCAACAACAGAAGTGATGCTTGTTCTCAAACCGAGGATTAAAAACGGTTATGGAGAGCAGATTCTGAGTTTGAATAAAGCATGACATACTCAGAAACTCTTAGAGCAATGAAGTTTGATTGGCAGTAATCAAATTTTATCCCTCAGACAGAAGTTCTTGACATAGAGATTACATCCAACTATGAGAAAACAGTGTTACATTTTCCACACTAGTGTCTGTAGTGGAAAAAAAACTGATGACAGGTTCAACTGAGGTTCCTGAAGAAATCTCACCAGTGCTGGAACTTGGCATTTGTAGCATCATACTCCGTTCATGCTTGTCATTCGTGATTTCTCCTCTTCTATTCCATATCACCCCTCCCTTCATTCGGATACCTTTCCTGCACTAAAAGGAAAGCACTGGGAGGACAGACATTATATCTATCTTGTCTATCATTTGTCTCTACTAGTTAGAATGGCTCCTGACTTGTGGAACACACTCAATAAAAACTCACTGAGATACATTTAAAAAAAAAAAAAAAAACAAGTATCTAAATAAAGCTCAGATGAGAAACCAATCTTTTGAGGGCAAAGCAAGTGAAAGTAAAATGTTACTTTCATCCTCTCCTTCATGGGCCATGAACACTTTCTGTGGATACTGGTATGTGGCAGTTACTAGCACCCACCTAGGAAATTATGAGACTCACCTTTTGCCAACAAAAAGGACTGGCAGATTTTTATCCTTTTCTTAGTATTGTATTTTAAATGTTCTCATTTACACATTTCTCTTTTACACATGTCTGTTATACTCAACCTCTCTGGCTTCAACAATACTAGGAAAAGTGGGAAATGGGTCAGAAATGTATTTATTTAACAGAAAAAGTAAAGGACAAGCTCTAAATTAATTTAAAGCAATAGCTTAACATTTCAAACATTGTTATTTGCTGCCCCTTACTGGTAAGATAACAAAATTGCCAAATCACATTTTAAAAGCATTTTAAAGCATTTTAAAAGCTGAAGCCTATTTTACAAGAAATAGCTCCTTTACCACAAGAAACACTGTATAAGTTAATGTTCACGAATAACGAGCACCATATAGGGAGTCACATAGTAAAGGCAGTTTCTGACCTCCCACTTAGATAAATGTAAAGAAAAGTTAAGGGAGAAATACACTAAAACAAAACTTGGAGACAAAGTGCCCTCCCTTCTTAGAAAACTTGAAATTATCATTGGCAACAAATACTGTCTGTTGCTTTCCTTGAAATGACAAGCTCATTCCATTCATTTCTGAGAAAATATCTGCCAAAGGCCCATGTCTGAATAAATACAATTTGTCTGACAGTCACTCTTTCAGGCAAAAATGGAATTCCACAAAAAGCAGCAGCTAATTCAATTGCAATTCAAACTAGAGCCCAAGTGTTCTTTCTTAAGATAACCATCATAATAGTCACTATTCAGCAAAAGTGCTTTATACACATTTCCCATGTCATCGCACAGCGCATTAGGAAGGAGCAGGGCTGAACTGCTGGAAAATGCTTCAACCAGTGCTTTAGAATAAACCACAGTATTCCAAGGGTTTCTAGAACTCTGGGGGTTGGGCCTCTGAATGCAGAGTTAGCAGCTCTACCTTGGTCTCTTACTGGTCTGTGAGTCCACAGATTCTGGTTATCAGAGTCATGCTCTTCTACTGCTCATGCTAGGTTAGCTGGCCATGTTGGACTTTGATTTGGACATGAAATGTCCATGACTTTACCAAGAAGGTGATCCAGAATGGCAGGCTGACAAGCCAATGTGTGGTTCCCACTGGTATACCTTGAGTAAACAGCCCAGGGTCAGGGCTGGTTTGAGATAAGCATGCCAAGGCATTAAACAGAAAGGATCTAGTTTTTGGTTATGGAGTAGACCAGATTATAGATAAGAAAGCGATGCTGAAAATCTAGCCCAAGAGGCAAGACAACGATGAAATAGGCAACAATGAAATCAGAACTCAGGAAAGAGAACAGGCAGAAGACAGGAATTTGAGCAATCCTTTCTGTATGGCACCTGGGGTGACAAGGCATTGGAAGATGGCTCCCTAAAAGAGTTGTACCAGGCTGAAGAGAACAGCTGGGCAGGGTGCATGTGGCACCTACAACAAAAAGGAAATAGGATCAGAGAAATGGCTGTGACAAGGAAGCTGCAGTCAGATGACAACTGCGAACAAGGACATGGCAAATCCTGTACTATTTCAGATATGCGTAGTCTCCAAGCCTTCTTGGAAGAATAGAGAAGCTGCTGTCTGTCTCTCTTCCCTTTACAGTAAACTGGACAGAATAATGCTCTCTGACCTCCTTATTTTAATCCAGTTCACTCAAACTTCATTCCCAAGTCTCCACAGAAAAATAAAGTTCATCATGGTTTTATAACTGAAAATTCTAGACTTATTTTAATTCTCGTGTTGCTTCTCAATAGCGCCAAGCACTCACACATAGCCAGGAAAAGTGCCTGTCCCTACCAGCAAGACTAGGAAACTCCACAATTCGTAAAGCATTGGCAACAGTACATGGAAAGTCTTGTCTCAACAGTAGGGATTAGGGGACTGACACTGTGGCACAGCAGATAAGGCTGCCGCCTAAGCTACTGGCATCCCACATGGGTGCTAGTTCAAGTGCCAGCTACTCCACTTCTGAACCGGTGGTTGGAAATCTCTCTGACTCACTCTCTCTCTCTCTCTGCCTTTCAAATAAACAAATCTTTAAAAAAATCAGCCAGTGCCGCAGCTCACTACTCACGAGGCTAATCTTCCGCCTGCAGTGCCAGCACCCTGGGTTCTAGTCCCAGTTGGGGCGCCAGATTCTGTCCTGGTTGCTCCTCTTCCAGTCCTGCTCTCTACTGTGGCCCGGGAAGGCAGTGGAGGATGGCCCAAGTGCTTGGGCCCTGCACTCGCATGGGAGACCAGGAAGAAGCACCTGGATCCTGGCTTTGGATCAGCGCAGCACGCCGGCCGTAGCAACCATTTGGGGGGTGAACCAACGGAAGGAAGACCTTTCTCCCTGTCTCTCTCTCACTGTCTAACTCTGCCTATTAAAAAAAAAAAAAAAATCAGCAACATACCTTCACTATCAAAAATGCTAAAGGAAATCATTCAGTTAGAAGAAAAATGATGGAAATATGATTTACACCAAGCAATGAAGATCAATGAAAATGGTAAATATGAGGATTCAAGAAGTGTGGAATGAAGTTAGAAGTAGGAGCCAGCGCTGTGACACAATGGATTAAACCATCGCTATAGAGCCAGTATCACATATGGGCACCGGTTCGAGTCCCTGCTGCTCCACTTCCTATACAACTCTGCTGTGGCCTGGGAAAGCAGTGGAATATGGTCCAGGTGCTTTGTCTCCTGCACTGGCGTGAGAGACCCAGAAGAAGCTCCTGGCTCCTGGCTTCGGGTCAACTCAGCTCTAGTTATTGCAGTAATTTCAGGAGTGAACCAAAGGATGGAAGATTTCTTTCTCTCTCTGGCTAGACCTCTCTCTGTTACTCTTTCAAATAAATAAAACAAATCTTTAAAGACAAAAAAGAAATTAAAAGTAAATATATTTTGGTGCAAACAATTTTAAATCTATGTTTTTAGAATAAGCATTTTCCATGAACTTGCTGAAGACTACTTGTTTATGGATGAATGTTAGGAATCTTTCTTATTTTTTAAGTCTTTTTTTAAGATTTATTTAATTTATTTGAAAGCAGTTACAGAGAGAGGGAGATAGAAAGAGAAGTCTTCCATCCACAGGTTCACTCTCCAAATGGCCACAATAGCCGAGGCTGGGCCAGGCAGAAGCTAGGAGCCAGGAGCTTCTTCTACATCCCATATGGGAGGCCGGCTCACAGGCGATTGCTAAACCTGCTACTCCACAATGCTAGTCCCTTACGTTTTTTAAAATATAATTGATTGTTTAAACAAAACAGCAACAGTGTAGTATGGATTTCATAACATAGATAAAAGTAAAATGTGTGACCACAATGACACAAAAGTCAGGAGGGGAGAAAGGAAATGTACTGAGATATTTGGCAGAAGAAATAGCTAAATAATAAAGCATGCAAGCTGCTGCTTAGTTGCTTTTAACTGCATGCAGTAGGATTTGGGGGCAATGGCATAATATGAAGGTAGAAATTATAATTAAAAGAAGAGCAGAGTAGAAAGGCATGGAAAATTCACAGCCTGCCAGAGAAGGAGCAGGAGGAAAAAAAGTATGTTAGGGACAGGAGAGTGCAGTGCAGTGGGGAAGGGGCCTGCTGAAGAGATTAGTGCAGACAAAAGGGAGCCTTGTGCTAACTGGCAAGACAGTAAGATAAAGGCCTCAAGGGCATCACAGAAATGTTCAGTGCTGCCCCTCCCATCATAGGCCCAGAGGCCAGAAAGGGCAGAATTGTTCCGTGGAGCCCCAGGGTGCTTTCCAGAGACCTGCCCCAGACCACACTGGGATTCACTTGCCTATGTCCAGCCAGTGAATCACTCCAAGGTTAAAGTGGTGTTCAAGAGGGCCCAGGCATAGCTTGTGCTGGCAGTAGTCCTTGGCATTGTCCATGTGATGCTGGCTTTGCAGGTATGCAGAATGCAACAGTTACAATGACCTGATTGCTTCCACCAAGATTTCAGAGGAAATCTCAGAAGGCCAGGCAGAGTTGTGGCCCCGGGTTGGAGCTTTTACATGGAGCTCCCAATGGGGTGATGCCTCATAGAGTTGTGGGAATAGAAAACAAGTAAAGACTCCAGAAAGATACAGTGACCAACATTGTGCAACATCCACCCAGGAGAGCACTGACACCAGCATGTGGCCTCACAGAACACCCATGTGGACAGAGAACATCAGAGCTGTCAATGCAAGGAGGCCTCCGTCTAGATTTTAAAGGAAGTCTCAAGTAACCTGGGGGCCCAGCCACAGACCTGTCATAGGGTCAGAGCCACTGCAGAGTCTCCACCAGGGCAGTGCCTAGTCGAGTTGTGGAAATGAGACTAACTTAAAACAACTGAAGCATGGTCTGTGGCTAGTAAAGCCCCAGGGCTGGGACTTTCTCACCAAGGTGTGCCCAGGATGGACATGAAGTTCTGGGATATAATGTTGGCTTTACTGGTTTTGGGTCTTGTTTGGATCCCATCAATTTTCTTTTTGTTACCTCTTTTTGGAGTGGAAATGTTTACCTTGTACCTGCCCAATATTGTATCTTGGAAGTATGTTACTTGCTTTTTTAAATTTACAGGGGCTCATGGATGAAAGAGTTTTATCTGGGACAGCTGGTTAAGCTATAGCCTACAGTGCCAGCAGCCCACATGGGCGTGGGTTCAAGTCCCAGTTGCTCCATTTCCAATCTAACTCCCTGCTTATGTGCCTGGGAAAGCAGCAGAGGATGGTCCAAGTGCTTGGGCCCCTGCAACCTCATGGGAGACCCAAAAGAAGCTCCTGGCTCCTGGCTTCAGCCTGGCCCACCCTCAGCCATTGTGGCATTTGGGGGGTGAGCCAGCAGATGGAAGACCTCTCTATCTCTCCCTCTCTGTAACTCTGCCTTTCAAATAAAATAATTAAAAAAAAAAAAGAGTTTTATTTGAGTCTCAAAAGAGATTTTGGACTCTTGAACTAAGGTTAAGGGAAAACAACAACAGAGAAATTATTCTTACCTAGGTTCTTTGTCTCACATGTAAGAATTTCCAAGTGGACAAGCAGAGACATTTAAAAAACAAGATTTATTAGAGTCAAAGACCTCCAGCCAGAGTAGCATGGAGGGGGGCTTCCGAGAGAGGAAAAAAAAAAAGACAAAGGACCCTGTGACACTGGTGTTTTTAAGTATAATTTCAAAGGAAAACAAAACTTGACAATCAGTTAGCAGGCAGAGACAAAACCCATCAAAAGACCTGATTTATAATCCTTTATCCTATCTGGCATGCTCATGATAAAACAAAAACTCTCCAGAAGGGTGGGATAGGTAACTTGTTTTCACAATAGACTGTGAGCTTGGGAGGGGGCAATCCCCACTGCCTTGCTATTCTCATGTTTATTTGGAGATTCCTGAGGAAGGAGGATGACATTTTGTCCTTGCTAAAAATAACCTTTTGGGGGGAAGCGTGCATTCTACACCCTAAATTGCACTGGGACCACCCTGACTGCCTAGTAACCAATCTGACTCCTCACACTAATGCAGAAGTAAAGACATTGGCACTACTAAGGCTAGAAGGATTGTATGTTGTATACAAGAATGACATGAGTCTTGGGGGGACAGGGGTAGAATGCTGTGATAGGAATCCCAAACTCATCAGGTGTTTGAACCTCAAAGTCATAAGATTAATATAGGCAGAGAGCTCATGAGTGATGAGAAATTGAAGCCTGCCAGAAACACTTGCAGTTATAGCAGCCCACACCACCCAAACACTATTCCTTCCATTCAGACACAGCTGCCAAGGTGGTGCCTGATAGATTATATCCAACATGGCAGCAGGCTTAGCAAACTCACTGCTCATGATACAGCTGACTTTCAGTCCCCATCATGCACTAGATGCCACAACACTTCCTAAATTTAACATGTGCCCTGCCACTCCATTTGTACCAGATACCATGACACTTCCAAGATCTAAAAAGAAAAAGAAAAAAGAAAGACAGAAATAGGGCATTGGAATCATTGTTGTGGTATAGCAGGTAAAGCTATTGCCTGCAATGCCAGCATCCCATATGGGTGCTGGTTCAAGTCCCAGCTGCTCCATTTCCAATCCAACTCCCTGCTAATGTTCTGGGAAAAGCAGAGGAAGATGGCCCAGTTATTTGGGTCTCTACCACCCACTTGGAGATCCAGATGAAGCTCCTGCCTCCTGGCTTTGACTTGGCCCAACCTGGCCATTGCAGCCATCTGCGGAGTGATCTAGCAGATGGAAGATCTCCTCTCTGTCCCTCTTTGTAACTCTGAATTTCAAATAAATAAATAAATCTGGGGAAATAAAAAAGAAAGAAATAGAGAGCTGGGCATGGAAATGGATGGTACTCAAGCCCTGTCCTAAACTGTGCCTTCTTTGAATATTCAATTAAGTACCACACCAGCCACTACATCTATTCTATGAAAGGATGACCCCAAACTTTGTTAATTGTAGCTCATTCTTGCCCACATAGGTTTTGCAAGTGAGTAGTATCCCTTTGACTCTTGCTTTCTTGCTCACTTCTATCTGTGTCTCCTCCTTGAAATCTTTCACTTATGTAGACAAGAACCTAGACCAAGTCTATTTGAAGGCCTCCCTCACAACAAGATGATGGTACAAAGAGGGTGGAAACAAACCAACTATGGTTTTTAGGAGTTACACCTAGTGGGAGATCCTAAGTAACTGAGTCATGCCCTCAGAAGGTAATTCTTATGAGAATAGGTGATTCTTTTTTTTTTTTTTTTTGACAGGCAGAGTTAGACAGTGAGAAAGAGAGAGACAGGGAGAAAGGTCTTCCTTCCATTGGTTCACCCGCAAATAGCTGCTACGGCCAGCGCGCTGCACTGATCTGAAGCCAGGAGCCAGGTGCTTCTTCCTGGTCTCCCATGCCGGTGCAGGGCCCAAGCACTTGGGCCATTCTCCACTGCCTTCCCGGGCCACAGCAGAGAGCAGGACTGGAAGAGGAGCTACCCCGGGACAGAATCCGGCGCCCCAAGAGAATAGGTAATTCTTATGAGAAAAAGTCTAGATTGGACCCAACTTCTCTCTGTGTGTTTCCTGCCTCACCAATCAGTCCTTCCACTGTGCATGCTATTATTGCCCTTTACCACCCTCATCAGAGCCCAACCAATGAAGCTACACAGTATTGAACTTGAACCTCACAAACTATGAGCTAAACAGTCCTTTTTTACTTATGAATGCTATTTGCCTCAGGTATTTCATTGTAGTATAGAAAAGCTGACCAATACAATCATGCTATCATTAATCACAAAAATGTTGGAATGACTATATTAATATCACACAAAGTTAATTTCAGAGCAAAGTATTTTTTTAAAACAGTTTTAAGTTGCAAATCAGAATTGCAGTACAATTTAACATTAGTAAATTGGGTCATGAAAGAAGATAAAATATTTGCAGTTTGACTACTATATACTTATACAGCTCACACCATTACTTTGCAAATGTGAAATCATTCTTTTTGTTAAGGAAACAGAAATGGGAAGGAAGAAGCAAAGAAGAGGCACAGCATGGGAGACAGGGTACATGAAGCTGTATATTCAGTACATGATTTTGGTCACTCTTACACAATCTAGTGGTTATTTTCTTGTATACCCTATATATAGATAGTGTTAAACCTGTAAATCAAAGCAAATTAATAAAACATTCATCAAAGGTCAGAAATTTATGCAATTCTAGTTACAAAACTTTTATGATACATTTGCATAGATTAACATAACACATAAACTTGGAAATTTCCTATTATGTAGTTAATTTTATTGTAACTTTTGACACCTATTCAGGTTTTAAGAAAAACAAAAGCTCAGCCAAAATGCCATAAAATAGAAATATCAATCCTTACGTTCTTTTGTTTTTTGTGTAGTGAAAAACATGGGAACTTGACATGAGGTTTCTTAAGTAGTGTCTAGGCACTTGGTTTTCTGATTTTAGCTTCATATTTTCTTCCTTAACTGTTTCTACTCTTGCAAAGAGATCTTCAAGCGTGTGCTGGAGGTCCAAGACTTGATGAATAAGTCGTGTTTGCTCTTCCAGTTCCACCTGATTTACAGCACCAACTGCATCTGTGTCAGCACTCATCATCTTGGTTAACAAACATTTGGCCCTTGCATGCAAAATTCTTGATGAATCCTCCTCTATTTGAGGTGCCTGGAAGGGGAAGGATCAGGAGAATTGGACCAACTGGCACCAGCAGCTCCACCACAAAGAATTTTACTAGAGGGAAAAAAAAAAGAATTTTACTAGGTAAAGAATGTCATTGCACAATGATAAAGTGGTATGTCACAAGGATAATATACACCTAAATGTTTATTTATCTAATAACTGAGCTTCAAAATAGCATACCACAAAAATTAATAGAACTATAAGGATTAAATAAGCAAGTTCTTAAGTATATTCAGAGATTTCCATACCATTCTCTCAAATAGGAAGGTAGAAAATCAGTAACAAATTAAAATGGGGCGGTAAGCTACAGTTTAAGTGCTAAATCTATCTCTCTAATTCTCATTTTGTAGCCAACATTATATTGAGACTGAGATAAGCTCATTCACTTATGTAGAGTCTATGATGACTTCACGTTGTAACAGAAATGTTGGATTGAAGTGGAAATGTATAGCATTAAGTGCCAATGTTTTGTACTGAATGAAAATGAAAACACAATGTGTCAAACTTGGTGAAACACCACTAAACTAGAACTCAGAGGGAAACTTTAGCACTAAGTGCCAATAAAGAAAAGAAAAAAAGATCGTTAATAAATGACTCCAGTTTCCACCTCAAGAATGACAGCAATGTGACAGAAACTCCAGGACCCATAAAGAGAAACATATTTACCATTTTATCTTTAGAGAAAAGTTTAAGGGTGGGAATAGTGGTACAGTGAGTTAGGGGGATGCTTGTCATGCCTGTATCTCATATCAGAGTTTGGGTTTGAGTCTCAGCTACTCTGCTTCTGCTTCTGATCCAGCTCCCTGCTAGAGTGCCTGGGAAGCAGCTGATGACAGATGGCTCAACTACTTGAGTTCCTGCCACCTATGTGGGAGACCAGGACGGAGTTCCTGGCTCCTGGCTTGCACCAGGTCCAACCCAGGCTGTTGCAGCCATTTGGAAAATTAACTAGAGGATGGAAGATATTCTCAATCTCTCTCTGAGATCTCCAAGAGAGAGAGTTAGAGAGAGAAAGAGACTCTGCCTTTCAAATAAATAAATAAATCTTTAAAAGAAAAAGGAACAGTTTACTGGTACATGATAGTGAAGATTATAATATAACCACTTTGGTACTTTGACCTAGTAGAATTTTATTGAATAACACCATTCAACAATAGCAGAAAACATATCTTTTTTATTAAGAATGAATGGAACACTAGCCAAGAGAGTCCATATTCTGGTCACAAAATAAATCTCAGTTAATTCAAATGAGTTAAAAATCATACAAAATATGTTAACTAATTACAATAAAATTAAATTAGAAAAAAGTATTAGGAACATTCTTAAACATTTGGAAACTTATTGTTATACAAATAAATAACTCATCAAGTAAAGAAGAATCCTAAAGAGAAATAAAAAATTATTTTGTAGTGTATGTGAAAATCACAATATATCAAATACAAGAATTACTTAAGAAGACAACAGAAAAGATCTCCAATAAATTACTTTAGCTTCCACCTTATGAAAGTAAAAAGATTAGATCAAATTAAGTCCAAAGCAAATAGAATAAAGGGAATGGTAAATATCAGAAAGAAACAAATGACATAGGAAACAGAAAAACAGTAGAGAAAAATCAATAAAAAAAAAAAGCTAGTTCTTTGAAATGATCGATCAACTTGATAAAACTCTAGCGAGACTGATCAGGGAAAAGACAGATGATACAAAGAAAGCAATTGTCTCACAATAGAATCTACAGTTATTAAAGGATAATAAGGAAATATTGTGAATTCTAAGTCTATACATTCACAACTCAGATGAAATGAAAAAGCAGTAACCATGAAAATCAGAAATTACTAAAGCTAACTCAGGAACAAATCTTATATCTTATACCTACTAAAAAATTAAATCTGTGGTTAAAAATCTTTCCATAGAAGCTGGTGTTCTGACCCAGCAGGGTAAGCCACCACTTGTAAAGCCAGCATCCCATATCAGCTCCAGTTCAAGTCCCAGCTGCTCCACTTCTAATCCAGCTCCCTGCTAATGATGCTGGGAAAGCAGCAGAAGATGACCCAAGTGCTTGGGCCATGGTCACTCATGTAGGAGACCAGGATAGTGTTTCTGGCTCCTGGCTTCAACCTGTCCCAGCCCTGGCTCTGGTAGTCATTTGGAGAATGAAGCAGTGGATGGAAGATTCTCTTTCTCTCGTTCCCTTATCCTCCACCCCCATCTCTCCTTTTCTGTGTAACTCTGACTTTCAAGTACATAAATCAAGGGAAAAAAAAATCTCCCATAAAGAAAGCCCCAAGCCACCTTGCTTCACTGGTAAATGCTACCAAACATTAAAGAAAGAAATAATATCAATTCCACACAAGCTTTTCCAGAGAATTAAAATGGAAGAATGTTCTGATCACTACTTTTCACTCTGTTGTTGAAGGAGGAAACTCTACCCAGAATAGTACAGGATGGCCAAACACACAACATCCAACGCTGGCAGATGAGATTAAGGGCAGTTTATCACTCACATATACTCACAACCACAACCTGGGGGAAGACAACACTATGTGCCACAAAGGGCCACAGGAACTGTGGGAGGCAGGATTTGCAGTAAAAACAAAGTACATTGACTGCTGTTGCTTCCTATAGAAGGGTGTGATTACCTTGTTTGAATAATATACTTGGTTGGTAAGGGAGGAAATATGCAAGGTTGAAGGCTGGGTGAAATTAAGTTAGTCCAGGTAATTAGAGAACTTACTGGGCAGAGAACTTTTCCTATTGGGTAGGGGCATATCTGGTGAAAGCAAGGGAACTCAAAGATCAAAGATGTCAAAGCAGCTGACGGAATTTCAGGTCTTTCAGTATAAGGCAACGCATTCCAACTCATTCTATGACACCAGCACTACTATGACACAAAAGCAGACAAAGACATTACAAGAGAAGAACACTGGCAACTAATATCTCTGATGAACACAGGTTTTAAAAATTCTAAATGAAATTAAATAAATTAAATGCAATACTATATAAGAAGAACATTACATCATCTTTCTAAAGTGTGGTTTATCCCAGGAATACAAGGCTTATTTAAAATTCAAAAATCAATCCAAGTAATTTACCATATCAATAAATTTTAAAGTATGTTTCTCTCAGTAGAGAAAGCATTTGACAGGGGCTACAGCTGTGGCACAGTGGATTAAGCCACTGCCTGCAGTGCCAGCATCTCATGTGGCACTGTGAATCACTGCTGCTCTACTTTCAATCCAGCTCTCTGCTACATGCCTGGGAAAGCAGTGGAAGATGGCTGAGATACTCCCAATTGTGGGATACTGGATGAAGCTTCTGACTCCTGGCTTCAGCCTGCCCAACCTTGACCATTGTGACCATCTGGGGAGTGGACCGTGACTGGAAAATCTCTCTCTCTCTCTCTCTCTCCCCTCTCCCCTCTCCTCTCCTCTCCTCTCTCCTCTCCTCTCTCTATCATCTCTCTTCTCTTCTCTTCTCTTCTCTTCTCTTCTCTTCTCTTCTGTCTCTCCCTCTCTCTCCTTTCTCTCTCTCTCTTCCTCCCCGACCCTGTAACCCTGTCTTTCAAAAAAACTAAGTAAATCTTTGAAAAAGAAAAAGAAAAGGCATTTGACAAAATCCAAAATGTAATCCTGGTTAGAAAGAAAAATTCTTAGTAAACTAGAAATAGGGAAATCCTCAGACAACATAGAACATTTATGAAAAATCTACAATTAACAGCATAATTAATGGTGAAAAGTGAATGCTTCCCCCATTGTGTCAGAAGGGAGAGAGATTTCACTTTTACCAGTTCTGTTCAAGAAAAGTTCTAGCCAGAGTGAAATGCAAAGAAAAAAAACAAAAGGCACCCAATTTGGAAAGAAAGAAGTAAAAATTATCTTTATTAGCAACTGAGTAGCTAATCTATAGTAAAGTCTATAGACTAAATAAATTTATGTAATGAATTTACATGATATAGAAATAATACACAAAAATTTTGTTTTTACACATTAGTGATGAACAATTAGAAATACCACTTAAAATAGAATAAAACTTACAAAAGACATAAAATATTTGTGTAAATAAAGCTACAAAATATTGCCAGGGAAAATTAAAGAAGATTTTAAAAAATAGAAAATTGACCATAGTGATGAGCTAGAAGACCCAGTATTGTCAAGATGTTAATTATCTCAAATTCATCTGTAAATTCTAGGTGAACTCTATCAACATCGCAGTCTTTTTTGGAGAAATTGGCAAAATAATTCTGAAATTTACATGAAAGTGGCAAGGACTAAGAGTAGTCAAGGCAACTTGAACCAAAAAAGAACACTATTGAAGGACTCATTGTACCTGATATTAAGACTTAATATAGGGCCGGTGCCCTGACTCAATAGGCTAATCCTCCACCTGCGGCCTCACAATACTGGCATGTCATATGGGTGCCAGTTCAATACCCAGCCACTCCACTTCCAATCCAGCTCCCTGCTAATGTGCTTGGGAAAGCAGTGGAATATGGCCCAAGAGCTTGGCACCCTGCACCCACGTGGGATATCCAGAGGAAGCTCCTGGCTCCTACCCACTGCAGCCACTTGAGGAGGGAACCAGTGGATGCAAGATCTCTTTCTTTCTGTCTCTATCTCTTCCTATCTCTGTGTAATTCTGATTTTCAAATAAATAAATAAATCTTTTTTTTAAAAAAAGACATTATAAATCTAGAGTTATCAAGAAAGTGAAGTATTGGAAGCAAGCATTGGGCCTAGCAATTAAGACACTTGTGTCCCACATCAGAGTGATTCCTAACTCTGGTTCCTCACTCTAGCTTCCTGGCAATGCAAATTCTGAGAGGCAGCAGTGATGTGCTCAAGTAATGGGGTTCCTGCCCCTACAAGGGAGATTGGAATTGTTCCCGGCTCCTGGCTTCAGCTCTGACCCAGGTTCAGCATTGCAGGCATCTGGGGAGTGACCCTGCAGATGGTTGCACCCTGTCTTTCTCTCTCTCTTTTTCTCTCTCTCTCTTTCTCTCTCTATGTGCCTCAAGCTAAAAATGTTTGTAGAGTGTATTATTGCCACAAAGATAGTCAAATAAAACTTAATAGTCCATACACACATGTGAATAACTGATTTTGACAAAGACATAAAGGCAATTCAGTTAATAAAGGAGAGTATTTTCAACAAAGGTACTGGAATGATTAGACAGCCACATGCAAAAAAAAAGTACCTCAATATACCTCTCTCACAGTGTAAAAAACCAACTCAAAATGCATTATTGATCTAAATGTAAACACTGAACAGTTAAACTTCTAGAAGAAAAAAAATGTTTCTACCCTTCCAGTTTCTTAGAAATTACAAGCACCTGGGCCATCCTCCACTGCACTCCCTGGCCATAGCAGAGAGCTGGCCTGGAAGAGGGGCAACCGGGACAGAATCCGGCGCCCCAACCGGGACTAGAACCCGGTGTGCCGGCGCCGCAAGGTGGAGGATTAGCCTATTGAGCCACGGCGCCGGCTCTAAAGGAGAGTATTTTCAACAAAGGTACTGGAATGATTAGACAGCCACATGCAAAAAAAAAGTACCTCAATATACCTCTCTCACAGTGTAAAAAACCAACTCAAAATGCATTATTGATCTAAATGTAAACACTGAACAGTTAAACTTCTAGAAGAAAAAAAATGTTTCTACCCTTCCAGTTTCTTAGAAATTATGTCAAAAATACTGCATTTAAGAAAATAAACTGATAAAATGTGCTTAAGTTTAATTAAATTCCCCCTTTCTCAAAAAAACACTGTTGTGAGAGTGAAAAGATAAGCCACAGATTGGGATAACATGTATGCAAATAACATATACAGGATATTAAGATAATCGAAAATGAATCTTGATGTGAATGGAAGGGGAGAGGGAGTGGGAAGGGGGAGGGTTGTGGGTGGGAGGGACGGTATGAGGGGGGAAGCCATTGTATCACATGAGTCGTACTTTGGAAATTTATATTCATTAAATAAAAGATAAAAAAAAATAACATATACAGGATAGAAAATTTGCATTCAGATGGTATAAAGAACTCTCCAAACTCAATAGTAAAAAAATAAACAATCCAATTAAAATTGGCAAGTGCTTTGTCCAGATTCATCACCAGAGAAAATCACAAATAGGGCAGGCATTTAGCATAGTGGTTCAGATGCTGTTTGGGGCACCTGCATTTTATGTTTGAGTGCATAAGTTCAAGTTCTGGCCTCACTTCTGAATCCAGCTTCCTACTAATGTGCATCTGGGGAGGCAGCAGGTGATGCTTCAAGTATGTGAGTCCCTGTCAGCCACATGGGAGACCTGAATTGAGTACCTGGTTCCCAGCTTTGGCCTGGCCCAGTCCTGGCTACAGAAGGAATCTAGGGAGCAAGCCAGCAGATGGAAGATCTTTCTCTATCTCTGTCTCTGTCTCTTCTCTCTCTTTCTGTCTCCTTGCCTTTCAAATAAATAACAATAAGTACATTTAAAAATGAAAAACAAGCATATGAAAAGATGATCAATAGTATTAATCATTAGAGAAGTGCAAATTAGAATCATACAGGGAAGGAAATAATTGAGGTTATTTTTGCAAACAACCTAACAGGATCATTATTATCCCATTCATTTAATTATGCGATGTTTCAGTCAGTTGCAATTATTATCCTTATTGATATTCAAATTGCTTGTATATTGGTTATTGTTTCATTTGTGTCCTCATTATTCAGTTTTTCCTAATTAGTTTTTCTAGAATTCATTCAATTCCATTTTATTATCAAAATTTTTGTTTTGTTTTGCTTTGTTTAGCTTCCAGATATAAGGGAGAGCATGTACTATCTGTCTTTTTTGTCAGGCTTGTTTCACTTAATATATTGTCCTCTAGTTCCATACATTTTACTATAAATTTCAGGATGGTTGACTAGTAGTCCATTGTATACATATATAGCACTTTCTTTATCCATTCACCTGACGATGAAAGACTTGGTTGATTCCTTATCTTGGCTATTGCGAATAGTGCTTCAAGAAACATGGTGGTGCAGGTATCTCTTTGATAGAATGATTTCATGTCTTTATTGATACCCAATAGTGGAGTTGCTAGCTCATACGGCAGCTCTATTTCCAGTTTTTTAAGGAACCTCCATACTGCTTTTATATAGTAGCTATACTAATTTATATTCCCATAAACAGTGTATACAAGTTCTTCTTTCTCTCCACATCTTTGCCAATATTTGTGTTTGATATAAACATTTTAACAGGGGCTCAGTGATATCTCATTGTGGTTTTGATTTACATTTCCTAAGTGACTAGTGAAAATCAGCATTTTTTGGTGTATTTGTTGGCCATCTGTATTTCCTCCTTTGAAAAAATGTCTATTCAGGTCCTTTGCCCATTTCTTAAGTGGAAAAGCTCTTTCTTTGTTATTGAGTATTTTGAGTTCCTTATATACTATGGAAATTAATACTTTTTTGGACAAGATTCTTGCAAATATTTTCTCCCATTTTGTTGGCTATCTCTTCACTCTGTTGATTGTTTTCTTTGCTATTCAAAAAAGTTCTGAGATAGAAATTCATTTATGTATATACAATCACCTGATTTTTAAAAAAAATTTCTTTACCTGTTTGAAGGGCAGAGAAACAGAGAGAGGGAGAGATGTCCATCTGCTGATCCACTCCCTGCATGGCCGCAAAAGGGTCTGGGCCAGACTGAAACCAGGAGGCAGGAACTGCATCCTTGTCTCCCATGTGTATGGCAGAGAACCAGGTACTTGGGCCATCTTTTGCTGCTTTTCCAGATGCATTAGCAGGAAGCTGAAATCGAAACAGAACAGCTGGGACTCAAACCAGTGTTCCACTATGGGATGTCAGTATTGCAAGCAGCTGTTTAATCCACTGTGCCACAATACTGGCCTACGGCCCACTGATGTTGGCCAAAAGTGCCAAGAACAAACATTGGAGAAAGGATAGTCTTTTCAATAAATGGTGCTGGGAAAACTGGGATACATATGGAGACAAACGAAATTAGACCCCTACTTCTCACCATATGCAAAAATCAACTCAAGATGGAGCAAAGAGATAAATACTTCAAGGCCTTGGTATAAGCAATTTTTTTTTTTTCAAGAAAGTTCCAATAGCTCGGGCAACAAAATATTTGGAGAGTGTGATGCTATGATTTTGTGGTAATCCCCCCACATCCTCTAAGGCTGGAAACTACATGTCTGAGAATCTTCTTCTCTATGAAGTGGTTTTCATTTGCACAGATCTCATCCAAATTTGAAAGTTAGAAGTGGAAACAGATATTCCGTGGCTTCACAGTCCTCTCCATGAGTTCTCAATTCCCTCACGGTAGGTAGCTTGACAGCTTCTCAAACTCTGCTCAGAGGCTTACCTTTGAAACCAGTGCAAGCTTTGGGCTAAAGTCACTAGAGATGTGATTCTCTGGCTTCCTTCTCAGACTTCCCACACTTGTGTATACTCAAATGTTATAATAAATCCTTTTATTCTTATAATAATTGTCATATTTCTTCGCTTGTCTGAATCCAAGTTGATAAAGAATTTCTTCAGCGTGGCTCCTGAGTCCTGTGACATACAACATTATTGTCTTTGGTAACTCACTTGCTTTGCAGTATAAAAGGACATTCTAAGGTTGTTTTGTACTATTCCTGCCCAAGAACCAGAATTACCTATTTCTTCAGGAACTTCCAGTTTTTAAAATCACTTGGAATAATTCCTCTCTGACTATATGATTTATTAATAATAGCTCCTATTACTGTCTGACAACAAATAATTTAAGTATGTACATACATTAATATGTTTTTGTTCATAGTGTCTCTACCGCAGTAGAATATAATAAATTCAATCAGAGCAAGGACTTTTTTCAACTTTGTATTCCTAAGATCTATAGAAGTGCTTGTCACATCACAGGCATTCAAAAATGTGTGAAAAGAGTAAATGAAATCTTTTTTCCCAGTCCACATCTTTTTCTTCAATTTTAGGCCCATGACTGCAACGTACAGTTATACTCTACACAAACAAGTGGACAATATTCACATTGCAGTTAATGAAAATGATGACCTAAATTGCTACACACCATCCATAGTTCACAGCAGCCCTGTAAGTTCTTTGGTGGACATTTCCAACTGAATGCCCCATAGGCATTTCAAACTCAACATAGAAAATCTCAACTCATTACAATCATTTATTATCCTATTCCCCTCTTATAAAGTTCATTATCTTGGGTTTAAAGATTTATTTATTTATTTATTTGAAAGGCAGAGTTACAGAGAGGTAGAGGTAGAGAGACAGAGAGAGATCTTCCATCCATTGGTTCACTCCCCAGATGGCTGCAACAGCCGCAGCTGCACCAATCCAAGAGCTTCCCAAGTGGGTGCAGGGGCCCAAGGTCTTAGGCCATCTTCTACTGCTTTCCCAAGCCATAGTAGAGAGATGGATCAGAAGAGGGGCAGCCAGGACTCAAACCGGCGCCCATATGGGATGGAGACTTTACCCACTAAGCCACAGTGCCGGTTCCCCGATCTTGTTTTTAATAATTCAAGTATATTGGCCGGCGCCACGGCTCAGTAGGCTAATCCTCCACCTTGCGGCGCCAGCACACCGGCTTCTAGTCCCAGTCGGGGCACGGATTTTGTCCCGGTTGCCCCTCTTCCAGGCCAGCTCTCTGCTGTGGCCAGGGAGTGCAGTGGAGGGTGGCCCAAGTGCTTGGGCCCTGCACCCCATGGGAGACCAGGAGAAGCACCTGGCTCCTGGCTTCAGATCAGTGCGGCGCGCCAGCCATGGCAGCCATTGGAGGGTGAACCAACGGCAAAGGAAGACCTTTCTCTCTGTCTCTCTCTCTCACTGTCCACTCTGTCAATCTGAAGGTCGAATGGCAGCTGTTTTCTAGTATATTTCCAAGAAACTACCAGTCAACACCTTGCAGGCTTCCTGGACCCTCCTTTCCCTTCCCAAATACTTCAAGTTAGTCATCACCTTGATGAGCCTTTTACCAGTCACCTGCTCTGTTTCTCATTCGTATCTCCCAAGTTCAAGAGCTCATCATCTCTCATTTGGTCTCTCTCCATCCAGTTTTGCCAAGTACAATCTTTCACCCATAAAAATTGATGAAGTTGCCTAAAAAAAAAGAATTATTTTACTTATTTAAAAGCCAGAGTTAGAGAGAGAGGCAGACACAGACAGAGAGAGAAATCTTCTATCCACTGGTTCACTCCCAAAATGGCTGCAACAAATGGCCTGGGCTGGGCCAAGCCAAAGCCAGGAGCCAGTAGCCAGGAGCCAGAAGCCAGGAGCCAAGAGCTTTTTCCCAGTCTCCCACATGGGTGCAAGGGCCCAAGCACTTGTGCCATCTTCTGCTGTTCTTTCCAGGACATTAGCAGGGAGCTGGATCAGAAGTGGAGCAGTTGGGATTGAACCGGGGTTATTGTCTTTAGCTTAGAGCCTAGCAAAGTTCTGGAATAAATATTGTAAAAACTTAGATAATTGTAGAAAAATGGATGGATTTAGAGATATCTAGGGAATTTTTCTGTTTCATTAGGACAATTATTTAAATAACATCCAGGAACTAGAATTTAAGATCCAAGCTACTAAAGTTTCCACAAAAGGCCCATTAAGGGGTAGACGTTTGGCATGGTGATCAATTCCGTGCTTGGGATGCCATATCCTATATAATAGTGCCTAGGTTCAAGTTCCAGCTCCACTTCCAATTTCAGTTCCTGCTAAAGAATACCACAGGAGGCAGTTAGTGGTGGCTCAGGTGCTTGGGTTCCCGCTTCAGCATGGCTGTTACAGGCATTTGGGGAGTGAACTGGCAGATGTAAACGTTTCTATCTCTCTCTCTTTCTCTCCCCTCCCCTCCCCCTCCTATCTTCCAAATAAAAGGAAAATAAACAAAAAAATATAAGATCTATTTATTTATTTGAAAGGTAGAGTTAGAGAGAGAGAGAGAAGGAGAGGGGGATCTTCCTTCCACTGGTTCACTCTCCAAACGGCTGCAATGTTCAGGCTGGGCCAAATCAAGGCCAGGAATCAGGAGCTTCTTCCAGATCTCCCACATGGGTTGCAGGGACCCAAGTAATTAGGTCATTTTTTGCTGATATCTCAGGCACATTACCAGGGAACCAGGGGCTGGCATTGTGGCACAGCAGGTTAAAGGCACTGCCTGTGCACTGGCATCCCATACGGACACTGGTTCGTGTCCTGTCTTCTCCATTTCCAATCCAGCGAAACAGCAGAAGATGGCCCAAATGCCTGGGCCCCTGCACACATGTAGGAGACCTGGAACGAAGCTCCCAGCTCAACCTAGCTCTGGACATTGCAGCCATCTAGGAAGTGAACCAGCCATCTCTCTGTAACTCTGCCTTTTAAATAAATGAAGATGAACACAAAGACGAAGATGAAGAAGAAGATAAAGGGGAAGGAGAAAGAAGAGGATGAGGAAGAGAAGGAGGAGGAGGAGGAGGAGCCAGAACTTAAACCAGCACCCATATGGGCTGCTGGTGCTATAGTCGGAGGCTTAACCCACTACACCACAGCACCAGCCCCCAAAATTTCTAAATAAATTAATAAAAACTCCATTAACACTGTAACACTTCCTCCCAATGTCTTAACAATGAACCTGAAAAATACTGAGGTCATTTACTAATATCCTTACTATCAATTTTCTCACACTGCTCCTATGTGACTTGATATCTCCTTTGGATTTTCATTATGCATATGAAGGAGAAAAGATAGAAGAGAGTATTATAGCATGTGGATAGGAACAGAAAAGAAATAAGGAGCCAATGTTAGAAATGTCATCTTCGTATTTCATTAATTTACCAATCACTGTGGCTGCTAATCATCATTGTGGGAAGATTCGAAGATTCAGACTCATCTAGCACTGGTAATTCCTACCTAATTAGAACCGCTTCCTTAACACCTGTATTCACTGAAAGTGAAACTAACATCAAGAGTGCTTTTGAAGAAAGAGGAGGCAGGGAGGAAAGAGGGGGAGGAGAAAAAGCAGCAGCAACATGCAGGCTGAATTTTTAGAGGGAAACAGTGTAAGATGTAATCATTAGTAAGAGCTAATAATAATTTTTAAAGTGTTTGAAATGTATTCACTTTTTAAAAAAGATTTATGTATTTATTTGAAAAGCCAGGTTAGACAAGGAGAAATCTTCCTCTACTGGTTCACTCTCCAAATGGCTGCAACGGTTGGGGCTAGGCCAGGCTGAAGCCAGGAGCTCCATCCAGGTTTTCCACATGAGTGGCAAGGGTCCAAGCACTTGGGCCATCTTCTGCAGCTTTCCCAAGCACATTAGCAGGGAGCTGGATTGGAAATGGAGTAACTGGGACTTAAACTGGTCCCCAAATTGGGATGTTGGCATCGCAGGTGGCGGCTTCATTCGCCATGCCATAGGCCAGCCGTGAAATATGTTCTCTTTTTACTCCTGTTTTCAGCTTTTAACAGATTCACTTGTCAATCATATGTTATTTAATTCCTAAATATCATGGAAGATTAAAATGCACATTAAAAGCAAACATGTGGATAATGCCCTCAAAGTATTTCAAATGAATCTAAGATGATTTGAACCCTCCCCCACCACACACACACACACACACACACATGCACTCATACAAGAAGATAAGATCATACCAAGTATTGTTCTTCCAGGAAAAGCCTTGAAAAACTTTGGAATACATACAGTAAGAGTGCACGACACTGGGGCCAAAGTAAGTGTAGCTCTGAGCAAAAGTTGGCCGCAATGCAGCTGTTACGTGACACCCAGTAGTTCTGTGGTTTCTGTGGAAAAAAAGCAAGCAGTGAGCTCAGAAAAGTATCCCCACAGTAGTCTATTTTACATAAATACGCTGGTTCCAGACATTTAGTTCTAACCACAGGGTGAAAAAGTCAGTATTTTTATTAATGTATGATTAAAAGCTGAGATGTAAGCAATCATAATCACACCACAACAAACCACACGTTTTTCATAAAATGTCTCCAATTTTCATATTGGCAGGCTGAGTATCTGTAACTGGAGAAAGTTTCATACTAAAGAAATGCAATCTTTCCACTATAAACTGTGGTGATTTAAATTGATTGTGATGGATGAGTAGCTATAAATTATTTGCTACTTTTTCAAATGCAAATGACCACAGCTAAACTTAAAAAGCGTAATTAGGGAGGTCCTTTATGTTTTACTAAATCAATGTGCTTCAATATAAAAATAAACATATTAGATGGCAATGGAGAACACTGCCAGAATAAGCCAGGCATAAAAAGCAAATGCTGTCTGATCTCACCAAATCTGGGATCGAAAAAAGTGGATCTCAAAGAAGCAGAGTAGAAAGATGGCTACTAGAGACTGGGCAGTGGGGTGGCAGGGGGAAAATGGGGGTTAGGGATGGATGGGGAAAGGGTCCAGAGTTTCCGTTAGAGTGAAGGAATAAGTGTTAATGATCTATTGCACTGTCGTGACCACAGCTATTAATACTGTATATTTCAAACTTGCTACAAGAATAAGATCTTTAAAGTTCTTACCAAAAAATGTAAGTGTGTGAGGCCATGTTAATTAGCTCGAATTGGGGGAGAGCAGTGCCATGACACAGTAGGCTAAGCTTCATATGAACGCCAGTTTGGGTTTCAACTGCTCCTGTTCCAACCCAGGTCCCTGTTAATGTGCCCGAGAAAGCACTGAAAGATGGCCCAAGTACTTGGGCCGCCACACCCAAGTGGGAGACCTGGAGGAGGCTCCTGGCTCCTGGCTTCAGATCTGCCCAGCTCTGACTGTTGCGAACACCTGGGGAGTGAACCAGAGGATGGAAAACCTTTCTCTCAGTCCTTCCCTCTGTCTGTAACTCTGCCTCTCAAATAAATAAATAAAATCTTAAAAAAATTAGCTCGAATGAATCTTCCTATAATTTGCATGTAGATCAGCAGATTATATTGTACTCTCTAAATATATACAATTATTATTTGTCAATTAAAATATATTTTAAAAGTAAAAAATATATTGTGTTGGTGAAGAATGCTTTCAAAATGACATGAGGTTTTTTCAAATGAGTCTTACCTTTGTGTGTTGAAAATATATGCTTCAGTCTTCTTGATGAATTTAGCTGCATAATCTACAAAGATACAATGAATTAGTGGGGTGTGAATTCTTAAATTGTGGTGTTCTGTAAAGCATAACACACTGAAGATGGAAAATGCTAACTCTAAATGAGTCAGAAACCACTCACAGATTTGCTAAAGCTAAGAAACTACAGAGGAACAGCACAATCAGCACTTCCAGATCTGTGATTTACCAAGGTAAAATTGGTCTGTTTGGTAAACTATGAAGGGGTCAAAGAGGTCATGGCAAACATTTGCATTTTTCTTAGACTATGAAATATGCCATGTTAAGCCAGTGAAAGTGATAGTAAAAAAAGAATCTATAGTAAATATATATATATATTTAATAATCCTAAATTTATTCCACTGCACACCCTGATGGGACTGAGAATAGGAAAAGTAGAGAACGCTGCAGAATGTTAGTACAACTCCCATGGCATCACATGGAAAATGATCAGACTGTGGTCTTCTGGGCTGGAATTTCTACTTAAGTAAATTACACACAACATACACTCATTTCTTTTTTCTAGTCCTGGTTCTCCTGCAGGCAGAGGACAAGATGGAATTAGAAATGCCTGAGATACAATGAGGATATCACTTGTGCAAGAAAAGGAGCAGAGGGAGCAAGAGCAGGCAGAGAGAGTTAGTAGTCCACAACGGAAGCCTGACTCCTGCAGATGAAGAGAGGGAAGGAAGAAAGATTGTGGAGGAACAGCCTCAAACTACAGCACAGTGCTGAGAAAGTCTCAGCTCAGGGAGGAGCTCTGGTGCATACACTGCTCACAGAGTTGTTTCAAATTGAGAGGAAGCTGCCCTGCTATATTGCTATATTTAGTCATCTACTACCCTTGTGTGTCATCTCCCCAGAGAGCTGATTGGAGTTTGCACGTCCTGTCTCATAAGGAGAGATATAAGTAGCACCTTTCTATGGTCGCCACATTTTGCATTCAAATTACAAGTGGGCCTGTAGCTTACTTTCTACTTAGTAATAACAATGCAGGCAGGAATTTGGTGTAACATTTTAGAGACAGCTTGGGACACCTGCATCTCCATATGAGAGTGCTTGAATTCAAGTTCTGGCTCCACTTCTGAATGCAGTTCCCTGCTAATGTGCACCCTGGGAGGCAGTAGATGATGGCTCAAGTAATTGGGTCCCTGTCAACTACATGAGAAACACAGATTGAGTTCAGGCTCCTGGCTTCTATCTGGCCCAGCACTGGCTATTATGGGCACATGAGGAGTGAACTCAACAGATAGAAGATTGTTTTCTTTCTGTCTCTGTCTCTGTTTCTGTCTTTCAGTCTCTCTCTGACTTTCAAATAAAATGATATAAATAAATAAATAAATAAAATTAATAATATGGCTTTAGAAAGCCAAATAAAATATTATCTCAGTTTATCTCAGTAATATGACATGTTGACAATTTGGTCTTGCAGTTACTGTGAAAATAAATGATGCACAAGGGAAAAAATACTATGATGCACAAGGAAAGTTTTCCAGGAAATGCAACAAGATCATCTACAATGAAATACGAATTAAAATGACAACAAGTTTCTCAACAGCAATAGCAGAAACAAGGGGACAGCAAAGTGACATTTTTAATGCACCAAAGAAACTTTAAGTTGGAATTTTGTATCTAGGCAATTATGTAAATATGTAGGTAAGATGGAGATGTTTTCAAGTATATGAGGCCTCAGAAGTTGTACCACACAAGGCCAATATCGAAAACACTCTTGACGGCAGCATTCCAGGAAGAGATGAAGAGTTAACAACATTTATTGTTTCTTATAAAAGCACTATCAAAAGGGGAAAAGGCAATAAAAAATGAAAAAGATCCATCCATAAGTGTTCTAAGATGAACAGATAATACCACCAACATAACTGGAGAGTGACAGAAACAATGATAGGGGTTGAGAGAGTGCTAAGTATTGATCTTATACAAAGGAAACATATCCATACTGTGTTAGCCTGGGTTTTCCCAGGTCCTGAGCCAAGGATTGGAGTACAAATGTTTCATTTCAATGGTGATCCCAAGAAGCACCGGTAGGGGAAGGCAAAAGTAAGACAGGGAAGGGAAGAAAGGGAATCTGGGACATGTTAATGAGTGGGTCATCACTTAGGATGATAGCATTATATCCCACTGGAGCCCTCTGGGAGATGTAACACATGCCTCAGAGGTGTTCCACTGCAGGGATAGGAAAGCTAAAATGTTTGCCTACCATCTCCTATTGTCCTTGGTTAAGAATTGTTTCTATGGACAATTGCTCTTTGAAGTTCTATTCTGTGTCCTACAGGACCAGTCACCCACTTGAGATGCAGGAAACTCTCTAAGGATCACAGAGAGTCTGAATATGATTGCTGGAATGTACGGGAAACATAATTGCACAGGGGATATGGTTCTAACTGCCACGTATTACCCCTTATATGACACAGATCTACTTTTGTTCCATATTAAATTCCTTCTGTGTAGTCACTAGTCAGTTTAAATTTAAAATTTAAAAGGAAATTGATAAAATACTAGCAATAGGAAGGTGCTGGGATGAACTGCAGCCTCTGGTGGTACACTTGGTCCCAAGGCTGTGGTTGCTACTCATCATTTTACTGCTCCAGCAGCTCTTGTATATTCCACTCATCATCGGCCAGCACTTCTCCCAGCCTAGGTTGCTTCACTTTAGTGAAACAAAACCAAAAGCTGGTTCTTTGGGAGGACAAATAAGATAGGCAAGTAAATAAACATGTAACCCGTGACTCAGAACTCCACTCTTGGTAACATGCCCAGAGACAGTCTTATACAAGCCCACAATGAAACACATCCAAGTTTATCAGAGCACTGTTTGTGAAAGTGGGGATTTGGAGACATCTTGGTTGTCGATCACTTAGATAATGAAAAGATAAATTGTGACAATTCATGTCATAGAATATTATGAAGTACTCAGAAATTATTAGATATAATCAAAGCCTCTTGAAAATATGCTAAGTAAAAACAAAAATAACAGCAAAAACAAAAATTGTGTAATAATACTGTGTACTTTGAAAATGCATGAATACAAAGGAAACATTATGAGACTTTTAGGGAAACAAAAATATTTTAGGAATATCCTGGGGCAGAAGGCAGGGGAGCAGCTATGAGAGGGAACAGGATTTGAAGAGGAAATAGAACAATATTAAATGATACAAAATCAAGTATGAAAAGGCCTGTACTAAAAAGAGAATGTACTATGCACCAAAAGAGTGAGAATGACCACTATTTGCACCTGAAGTTTAAAACAAATAGTGTTACATTACTATTAGCATTTAATTACATGACATGGAAATTGTATTTTATATAACACAAAGACCATGTGCTTTCATGGAATCAAATTATCAACATCTGTCTTTGAAAGATTTGGAGATTTTCTTTCTGATTCAGGTTTCCTGTGGGCTTTCTTATGCTTCCTCTCTGAGCAAAGATTGACCATAATTCACAATTCCAAAGGGACTCAAATATTTATCCAATTTAAAATGCTATCTATTATTTCCATACCAAATGAGTTAATTAAATAACATACAGTGAAAAAAGGTCAATAGCATGATGCATAAGTAGAAAACATTAGATATCTAAACAAAATATATTTCTTGGCCGGCGTCGCGGCTCACTTGGTTAATCCTCCGCCTGTGGCGCCAGCACCCTGGGTTCTAGTCCAGGTTGGGGTGCCGGATTCTGTCCCAGTTGCACCTCTTCTAGTCCAGCTCTCTGTGGCCCGGGTCCTTGGGCCCTGCACCCGCATGGGAGACCAGGAGGAGGCACCTGGCTCCTGGCTTCAGATCTGCACAGCCCTAGCAGCCATTTGGGGGGTGAACCAACAGAAGAGGAAGACCTTTCTCTCTCTCTCTCTCTCTCTGTCTAACTCTGCCTGTCAAAAAAAATAAAAAATAAAAAAATATATTTCTTCTATGTACCAAATGTTCTAGACAGATATTTCTAGATTTTTAAATTCTTGGCATTTATTCATATAATCAGTATGTAATTTTATTTAGTAAACAGCAAAATAAACACCTAAAAATAGGTACTTAGTGGAATAAAATAGTCCCAAATTGCATTAGACTGAATTTATTATAATTATTTTATAAATTTCATGGCAAAACAGGAAATAAGGGAGAAATACTTAAACAAATCTTAAAATGTTCTAAAAACAATGAATTATCTGATCTTAAAATCCTCACTTTATATTTTTATTGTTTCAATTTTCTTTTTTACTTTGAAATATTTTAATGTCTTTATTTTAAAAAATTTTTTTAAAGTTTAAAAGCAAGATTTATTTTAAGCAGGCACCTCCAGACAGAGTGGCATAGAGGGGGCCTCCAAAGGAGGAAAAACCTGAAGGGGCTGGTGGTGGTAGCGTTTTTAAGCACAGTTTTGGAGAAAAAAACTTGACAATCAGGTTGACATTCTGTTACAAAGCAGGGAGAAAATCCATCAAAATACCTAATTTCAAGCTTTTGCCCTATCTAGCTTGCTCATGATAAAACAAAAAAGCCATCAGAAAGGTGGGATACCTAATTTAATGATCTCTAAAGTGTCTGTATCTTGAGAAATTTTTAGGTCAGTATTTAAATACTTAAAAAATTAACTTTACTCCAATAACTATGAAGAGCCTCAGTAGAGATATTATTCATCTCTGTTTTGGATACTTACAAAACATAACAAACTATTCATGCATTCTCTTTGTTTTGACTGATAATACCTTTGGCCTAGCCCAATCTTATTTTTGTAAAAAAAAATAGACATATTTAAGTTTGGTGATCAAGTTTAGAGAGGAAATAGAATAAAATCTTCCTTTAGGGAAAAGTAATTGCCTCAAAGTAATCTTTAACAAGTCATAACATAGCCTATGAAAACCATTTGCTAAAAGAACCATTTGTATTGAAAGTATAATTTATATGACTGAGTATACTGAGGAGATAATTAATACTCAGCACTTTTGAATAAAGTACCAACGTACAGAATCACATCATATCATTTTCTTTAAAATAC